TCCCAAGAATCTAAAAAATGGTGTCAATCGCTTGCAGCCACGCTTATAAACCTGTCAGGTACAGCTGATGCTGAGGTGGAGACCGGGGCTTGTTGTCACATGGGTAAGTTGTCACATTGCAATTATCTTTGCCACCAGAGGGCACAACTAAAAAGTGGATTACTAGTTTTGTTCCTTTTCATGGTCAGGGGTCGTGTCCTGTCTGAGAAGAGAGGAACACATTGTGAGCTGAGATGAGTGTAAAAATTTTTAACTTTACATATTTCAAAATAAGCTTCTTCCAGATAAAAATCCTAGCAGTGACACATGTGGACTTGTTAGAGGAGAGATTAAGGCATCCTGTCATACCCCAGTCATTGTTCTGTTTTAAGCTAACTCTAAGCTCGAGCTAGATTTAGCAAACATGGTAGTTTGGGGCAACATGTCTCAGCCGTTTTGGGGTTAGTTGTCACATGTTTAAAATGGATTAAAATTAACATAGAGAGTCTGCTTATCAGCAGTTGTCATATTGAAATTTTGACTTTGGGCTCTATTTTCATGCCCATTGGCGACGCGGCAGATGGTGGCGTAACCCGCGCAGTGATATTTTTGTCTGGCAGAGTCTGGTGCACAGCCAGTTTGGTATTTTCGTAGACTGAGGCGCACTGAGGTCCGCCAAGCTGGGCATAGTGGCGCGGCAGGGGGAGGTGTCGACAGAATCAGCTGGCGCAGTGACATTTTCGTGTGGCGTAGAAAATGCGCTGAAAGCTCGCCAATTCAAACCTGGTCAGCTTTCAGCGCAGGCGGGTTGCAGCCGGTCTAGTTGTATTTTGGTAGACCGGCGGCGTAGTGCGCATATTTCACCAATGCCTCACAGGCAGGTTTCCATAGTGTCGGGCACATTTCAGTGCAATAAATAATCAACAACAACCAATATTCTGAGTCAGCACATACATTTCTGATCTGATGAGCACATTTGGCATGCATTTGGACACTCAACTTGACCAGATTAACAGAGCTGAAACCACATTAAATAAAATTAAATATCTAGTAAATAGACACACATGATGAAGATATTTAATTTGTCTCCCCCCTATTTCTATCTTCCTCTTCCTCTTATTTCTCGGGCAGTTCAACATTAGCATGTCTTCGTGTCCTCTGCCCGTCCTGCTGCAGATGCGGCAGCTGAACAGATGATTTGTTTCAGTGCTCAGATGAGTTATTTAATTTAAGCCTACATACGAATATTATAATATTCAGTTTTGTGAGCCAAATTTATTTTATATGCCAACATCTATGAAAGAAAGAGCCAGGCCACGGAGTGCGATGCATCATTTACGCACAGATCCATCCATCTGTGCTTATATGAGACAGTGTGCAGGACGCCCTCTGCAGCGCTTACAGTGACACTTGTTGAGAAGCTGCCTTCTGTCGCCATCGTGTGGCATAGTGGTCTTCAGTCATCTCTTGATCTCTTTGACTACTGCACGAAAATTGTAATACGCCTCGCTGGGGGTGGATTTAAAGGTGAGGAGAGGAGCTCATGTGATTGGCAAAAACAGGTCTCGGCTGTGTTAAATCCACTCCACACCTTATCCCCTCCCTCTCTACCACTTACGCCGCTGGGAGGAGCTGAGTTAGGAAGGGGGGATACTTAAGAAAATAGAGCCCTTTACCTTTGCAGAAAAAATGGTTTAAAGGGGAAGAGAAAGCGGGAAGACATGGTTGGGAATTACAAAAGAAAAACAGTTGCATAATATTTTATGTTAACATTCGTTCAATAGCTACATTCAATGGTTTTTTCCAACTCAATGATAAACATTTTCTGTGCCTGACTTTGATGTTAACTTTCATGTAAAAAAAAAAAAAAACGAGAACAACAATAAATTTGTCCTTGTTTTATTAGCTGCAAAATCCACTGTGACATCTTACCCCATGTAGTGAGACAACTTACCCAATGGTGGGGCAACATGTTCACACTCTCTATTTGATTGCTTATAATGCTGCACTGACACAAGATATGAAAATGACATGAATACAAAATATATACCTGAGACTTTGGTCTTTTATATGGTACACATTTTGTTTATATAAGACGTATTGGTGAACTGCTCTTTGTGTCCAAGTGGCTCAGAGGATAAGAACACTGGCTGGAACTCCTGAGGTCATAGGTTCGAGTCCTACCTTACCTAGTTTTCTTGTATTGCTTGTATCGGCTACTACAACAACCGAATTTCCCCTCGGGATTAATAAAGTTCTCTATCTATCTATCTATCTATCTATCTATCTATCTATCTATTGATTCCAAAAAATAGATGAGTGTAAAAAGTGTGACAACAAGCCCCGTTCTCCCCTATCGCAGCAGCAGGAAGAGGCAGAATGAATGGGCTGATTCATTAGCTTTGCACACACATATTTTTTTCTTCAGGCAGGGAGCTCTACCTCATGGGTCCAGCCCTCACCTGACTCTGTGTGCTCTACTTGCCTGCCACTACAGTGTTATATGAGGCATACTGAAGCAGCCCAGGGACCACTCTGCTGCCTGAGGACAAAAACATAACGTACACACTAACAATGCACAGCCAGACAGGTAGAAGAGCGAATGTAGTCAATCAAAGAAAACCATGCATGCATCTGTGCATATTTGTGTGTGCATGGGTGTGCGATATTGTGTGTTCATGTGTGGGTTTTTAACATATGTGTCCCATCTCCACAGAGGAGCTTCGCCTTCTGATTAAGAGTGATGAGTGGCTGAAGATAGTGGTTCGACCCTCCTGTCGCTCAGCGAGAGCTTTTATCTATCCCTACAGGGGATTCTGTCATGTGACGTAGCCTCTGAGCTCCTGTCCTTAACTCTGTGCCCCGATATCACCCTCCTACCTCCGCTACCTCCCTCTCTACCTTTTTTTCAGTTGGTCCATCACACATGTGCCTGCACAGAAAAGCACACAACTTATTTGCATTTGATGTAATCATTTAATATGTTTTTACAAATCAGGTAAATCATAATAAACCCACTGAAAAGCTGTTCTTATTCTACATACAACACTGAGGGATAGACAAGGTTGTATTCATGTACACAATTGTACTGCCAGGAATGTATGAGGTCTGAGTGGCAAATGGGGTTCAACATCGAGGCAGCTTTCTTCTAATGGGAGTGGCACTGGCTTAAGACGCTTCCCTCAAGGGTCATCAAAAAGTATAACACTGCCCTCCAGTGGTTCATAAAAGAACGACTATTCTAATGTGACTGAGTTTCACTAAGAGCTCATGCTAGTTTTAAAAGGGCTGGACAAAAAAGGAAATTAGAGCATATTTCTTAGATGTTTGCAGTCAGAGAGAGGCTGTAGGTCGTTTTCAAACACACTATGAAAGTCCCATTTCAAACAGGCATGTATATGTTCATCTTTTTCTGTAGCGAAAACATAACCTTCACATTTATGTGTAATGAGTGTATTTTCATATTTAGTTTGGAATTCAAATTAAAAGGACACTGAATATTTTTATTGAGTAATTAATCTATTATTAGCAGCAAATGATTTATTAATGAGACATGTCTGCAACGTTCTCAGGTTTCCATTAAACAAACATAGTGAATGAAGAAAAGTTTGGTGATTTGCTGACAACAGTAAACTCTGCAAGTTACAATAATATTCAAATATGAGGAAACAAAATTTTTAACGATTGATACTAGTACCAAATAGTAGGTTGTTTAATCTAGCAGCTTTTAAATTAGTTAACTACTAATGGAGAATGGAGTAATTTACAAAAATTTGACAACCTCAGCTACTCTGCTGCCTGCATAACCCAGGGCAAACTATGCATTAGTTTATTACCAGGTATTACCTGGCAACAGACTTTAAAACAAACAAACAAAAAAAAAAAAAAAACGTGGAATTGATCTAAATTGCTCTAAAAATGATTTGTCTGGGAAGTAAAAACATGCTTTGAGGGGTGGGAGCACTTTCTTGGCAACAGTATTCTTGTCTGCCAACTTATAGGTCAAGTAAGCATTGAATTGATTGTTTTTAGTTGGGTAATGGCAGTGTCAAAATTTTAATTTCAGATGAATGTTCTGAATTGTCTTTAAAATATTGGTGTTGGTGTTTTTGTTACATGATGCTTACTGTGCAATCTAGCCCCGTTGGCCACTTGTTGCCAAGCAACAAGAGTGACGCTACGTGACCCCACCATCAGGGTGATGACGCAAACACACAATCCTCTAAAGAGTAAACCATGTCATTTCAGTTCCACCTGACCTGTCCAGGTTAGCAGCAAAGGCCTGTGGATTGAGACACAGCTAAGATGTCAAAGTAGTTGTAATACTTAAGCAAAATGAAAATGCATCTACCTTAAAATATATAATTTTAACCTTTGCGTATAGAGCTGTTCTTTAAAAGTAAAACCACAATCAAGGTCTTGACATTGTATCAAATATTGGCTCCCTTGCTTTTTACAATTACAGCCAAGCTAAGTTTTAGTACAGTAACACAACACGTGTGTCACAGCTTAAATTCACTGTTTTTACTAGAGCTAAGCTGAACACTGATTCACTATTACCACACTATTTCTAGTCAGGAGGTAGCTGCATGCATGCATTAAAAAAAAAAACTATCAGAGCATGGCACTGTGTTGTGTTTGTTAATTGCATTATTTTTCACATTATCAAACACTAAATCGACTGCAGGGCTCTCTTGTAATTTCCTCCCCACAATTTATAGAGGACATTAATTTTGATCAATGAATTTAAATCTAGAATAGTTCAATGTATCATACTCTGGGATGTAACATAAAGGTCAAATTGATTGAAATGTAACAAGAAATAACCCAAGAAGCACAGCTCCCTGGTGTCTTAAATGTCATTTTCAGGAGCGTAAATGCCAGGAGAGGCTGTCACACATGGAGGTGAATCAAATGATAAATATTTGGAGGCAAAATCTGTGAGGAAAATCGAGTGGGAGCCAAAGTTATGCTGTATTGTTCACAGTTTGATTGAATTAAGAAAAAAAAACACAAAACACTTTTTTGATCTTCAATGTTTATTTACAGAAGAGTCCTTTTCACAGACAACTTGGGAGTTGTTGTGAGTTTTGACAGGTTTACATATGGTAAAACAATGGAAATATCTCTACTGACCACAAGTACTACCTATCCTGTGATGATTCCTCTGAACAAGCAATGCTTCTATCACAAATTAAGGCTGCCATGACTAACACTGAGTAATCCATCTGTCGTTTTACAGAATAAGAAAAATTGCACTTCTAGAAATATGAGGATGACAGTCCAAAGTTGCTCATGGTCCAAGAAGAAATGCTAATCTGTTAAGTGTTCCTACAAATTGCTCCTACAGTAATGTCTTTTGACACAAATGAGGTCTTGTTCGGCACCACAACAATTACAAAGGTGTCTGAGTAGCCGCAGAGTGCCACTGGTGGCACATGACCACACAGTTTGAGTCTGTGCTTACACATTCAGAGAAGCACAGCTGAGCTGGTACACACAAAACCAGAGAAGGAGACATACAAAAATGCACAACAATGTGACATCACTGGACAAAATCAGTTCACCACAAAGCACCGGAAGAGAGACAGAAACACACTGATTGTACAAAACCAAATATCATCTATGCATAAGAGTTTCCTCTATTTACTTTCCAAAAGAGTAAAAATGAGGCTTGGTTGGACAACAAATGACACGTATCTGAGCTGAATATGCTGGCATGATCCTCCACAATTTTAAGCAAAGATGGGGCACCTGAGTAGAGAAGAGACATTTATTTTGAAATGGTTGTCTGCACTGAGAGGTATGACCTGCCCAGGGAGGGTGTCCCTTTAGCCCTTCTCCCTGCTTTGTATTTTAGCTGCCTGGGTTTTGTTTAAGTGGTATTCTTCCTAAAAGTGACTTTTACTCTGTTATACAACAGCAGAGACGTCATTTTCTTTTTCTCCAAAGGTTTTGGCTAAAACGATTTAAGCACCCCTTGCAGAGTAACAATGTAAAAATCAATTTAGATGACTTTGAATAACCCCTAAACCCCTTTTTTACCTACCCCTACCACTAAACTAGACCACCCAGGCAGCTGAAATGAGTGAAAATGCTCACTGAGGTAAAACGAAACTGTCAGTTCTGTCCTCTATAAAAGACTTTAAAAGACAAAAAAGAAGATGTTTGACTTGAAAAATCTGCAGCTTCAACAAACTGATCAGAATTAAACCAACAAGTTACCATCATGAGGTATACTGTTTGATAAAACCCTTTCAAAGGAGGATCAAACGAAAACAAGTTCAGAGTAATTCTGGATGACAAGACAGCACAAGTGGCTTTTCTCTCCAAAATACCTGGTTGTTTTAGCCAATCATTAACAAACAACCAAATGAGGGAACATAAAAAAAAAACATATTTTAGTGTGAAGAGTAAAAAGAGCTTCTGCAAGGAGAGCATACACATCTGAAAACAGACTTCATGCTTTTCCTCTTTTTGGATTCTCACACACCATAATAATCCACCACTGCATCATGACTAGGAGCAGACAAAACACTGAGCTTTGACTTGACTATTTAAAGAAAAATGATATGTAACCCACACTGGAAATACTGTAAGTGTGATCATCATTTGAGACCAGTCATGGTAAATCGTAATTAAAAAAATGTTCAAAATGTTTGCAGTTTTAATCACATTGACTGACAGATAAAATGAAACACTACCTTACTGACCTCGATCCACTTTGCTGTAGTCTAAAGAATATCTGAAAATAGAAGGACTGAACCGAGGTCTGGATGAAACCTTTCAAAGAAGTAGGAACACATTCTAGGGTTTTAAGTACATCTCTTCTTAAGGTACTAGTCATTGCTGACCTGGACTGAGAGAGGTATGTTTAAGATATCAAACTGGAATGCTCTGAATACACTGATAAAGGACTGGTGGACACATGGGCTTTTTGAGAATGACGTGAGACACTATGGAGCAAAAACAGTATCAGTAAAGAACCTGGACCAAACATATAGACAGAGTTTTGGTGGTTTGCTTTAGTCTACTGCATATAAAGAGATTGTACTGCTCAAATTGACCTCATGGCATGTTGTTCACTCAGCAAATGAAAACCTGCTCTGGCATCACACATTGGAGGGTGGCCAACATTTACTCTCGGTTTAACACGCCTGACACTTGAAATTGATTAGGTCCTTGCTACAGCAACAGTTTTCGTTCTGCAGATAAGGTAGACGTTGAATTGCCCGATATGAACCAATTTAGTATGGTTTGGAAAAGTACTTCAGGTGTCTAATTTATTTTTTATTTTTTTACTCAAAAGAGATTATTTTTTAAATAAATATTTATTTTAATTTCATCATACAAAATTTAAACTCTCCTGATTCTGCAAACCTCACTCATTTAGGACCATCTGATTAATGTTTGACCCAGGTTTGCTAAGAGCACATTCACTTCTGTCCCCATATGACTACTACTGCAGTTAAAACAGGAGATGTTGAGTGCGCACATGGCAAGGCTAAAAAAATAAGTCTATTCGAGGTACCGTCCATGCATTTCTTTTTTTTTGAAAATCATAAAAGTTCTTGAATGACAGCTTTTATGGTTACAAACACAACCTAGGTGCCTCATATATCTCAAAAGGAACTGTTCATATTTATTTGCTGATGTGATTGTGTTGAGCTGGTGAGATTTGACACTTAAATGGACATAAGGAGAAAAGGGGTCTGTCGACACCCCTTTACTGCTGGATGACTAGGAGAAAGCCCCCTGAGAGAAGATGAGACATCATGCAAAACAGGGCTGAGCTCAATACTCTGCTTCATTCTGTCAATCTTCAACATGAATAAAATTATTACTATTAACTGATCCTAACAATTATTTCAGTATCAAACAGATTTACAGTTTAGCATCATGACATCTACAGTTTGGCACTCTTTAAAATAACCCTCACCAGGTGGCGCTAACATCTGCAGAATATTATTTTTGATGCCAAGCACTCAGTGAAACTGGCTTGTCAAAAACTCACAAACCTGCTCTTTCTATTGGTGCTTATTATCGATCCTTTTAGGCAAAGAAGAAGCTAGTACGATCTCAACACCTTTGCCACCTCAAGGTAATTAGTGTTTGTCTCACCACATACTGGTTTATTCATCCCTGTGGAAAAGCTAGCACCAGTCTGATGTTTGGATGAATTGCACAGCTAGTTGGTGATTCAGTTTTAGTCAACATTAGACTGGCAATAAAGCACATTTCTAGCTAACATTGAATTGGCTAGAAATTAAGCTTGGGTTTTTGTGTTAACAAAATAGACCAATATTTATATTTATGCCTTTTCATAATATCTTGAAGAAAACAATGTATTATTTCAATACTGTATTTTGTAATGGCTGATCTGATGGGAAGGTGGAGTAGCTGAAGAAACAGCTGTTTTGACAATTTCCATATAAAATATTCACAACAATGACTCAAAGGTCAGCTGGATGAGATTTTGTGTCAACAGTAACAACTCAAGCATGTAGGGAACAAGATAAGCAAGGTTGCTTTGTCCACAGGGGATGCCAAAATTGACACAAACCAAAAATCCCCCACAGGAGCTTCAACCTTTTCTGGCACATAGTACTGATGTTAGCTCCTCGTCATCTCTAGCAAATGATTAAATGACCAATTACGTGGTCCAACAGCAGTTTAAACAGTTGTATTGAGTTTGAAAATGAGTTACCTAAAATGCTGTTTCAGCCAGAAATGAGGTTCTCACTTTTCTCTGTATTTTTGCCTGATGATCACTCCAAAAGTGAAGAAAAGATTGTTCACCATAGCCTTTTATGGGAGCTAGAAAACCAAGAAGTTAGCTTCCCACTCTGATCAAAAAAAGACTACAGTCATGTATATGCTTGATGGGTCAACATTGCCAATTGATGTGTACTAGTTAAACTTGAAATCAATACAATTAGTATCATGCTCTTTTATAAACAGTTTGTTACTTTTGGTACTTGAAACCTGTTTACTTTCAGCCGAAAAAAGGCAAAGTAACAGAGCTGTAGTATTTATTGCCTCCAGGTGGCACAAGTGTGAGATTTTACCTGCCTTTTCCTGTCGTTGGCACAATTTTGAGAGGGATCTTCAAATCCAAAGCTTATTACCTCAATCTAGTTTCAGATGCTTCAAAGACACTGGGTGTTTATGTTGACTGCAGGTTAGAGTTTGAAGGAAACACAATACTGAGTAACACATCTTTCAGAGCCCTATAAGGAAGCTGAGAGATACTGACAGGACATGAATTCCTTAGACATAACACAAGAACTTACAGTCAGTGTCGGACAATTAATTCTGCAAATACCAAAGGCTATTAAACCAGAAATTTAAGAAAGAGATCTTCAAAAGGTGCTAGTTACTTTAAGCTAATAAAACCACACTGGAAATAGTCCTGAAAAGAAATGAGGTAGTGTTGTTGATAAGGAGTAGGGATGCACCATTTCACCTTTAGCAATGCTAAAACTCAATCAGCTTCACATACTGGTCAATTATGGAAACAAGTCAGGTTGAATGTTTCAGCAAAACAATTTTGGGTCGGAGTGGAAAATATAATTCGGAATAATTCTGTTTGCTTTCCCTTCTCGCTCATTTCCTTTTTTATAAATGCAGCAAAATCAGGTCAGTTTCTAATTAATTCTGATACTTAAGTAAAGTCATGCAGTTTGAAGATTTTCGCACACAGAGGAAACCAGCTATGCTTGTCAAATAAATGTGGATTTCTATTGAAGTAGGACAAATGTCGGGTACCTTCAGTGAGTAAGGAAATGATGATTATTGGCACAGTGTCACATCGGTGCATCCCTAAGTATGAGCAGAACCAAAGTTTACAGATGGGTTACTGTAATATCTCTTACTCTTGAACAGAATTTAAGTGATGCTAACATGAATATGTAAATACTTTGATCCAAAAATGGGATAGCCACCATCTGAAATACTGCAAAACCACATTTGAACTGCGAGCCCCTTGGTTTACAAAATGGCACCACTGGAATCAATGGCATTTTGGAAACAGAACTTAATGTGTATCAAATCTGTATTTTACCATGTGTGTATTTCTCCTCTTATGTTGACATGTGTTTTGTGTTCGCACTGAATAAAATCTATAGAAATATACAGAGGTTAGAAATGCACCTACAATAATAAACAGGCACCTGAGACGCCCACACTTTTGCGAGGAAATCTGTGTGTGTAAATGTGTGTTTATGAATGACCATGAGACACCATAAAGTCAGCTATACATTAGCTTACTGTCAATGTTTGTGTGCATGGACCCTGAGACAGCAGGAGGCTAGAGAGAGACGCAGGTGTGTTGCACTCTGAGAGTGTGCAGGTACTCTTCAAGACTTCTCCCACTGTGCCTGTTGTGATGTAGCATTCACACGTCGAAGCCTGGGGAGACGCCAGTGTGGCAGCCTGTCTCACTCACTCGCAGAATATCTCAGTTTTTCCCATTCATGAGTGGAACAGAGCCATGTGAGACACAGTGGGACTAGCCTCCTTCAATCCTCTTCCATCTGCTTGGTTTAGTTAAATCCTTCCTTTCTTCCCTGCGGACAGGAAAGTAACCCAGAGGAAAATGTGGTTGCAATGCTAGAGAATGCATACCCATATACAGTACTCTACCACTAAAAATATACTGTATATGCATACTGTTTATACACACATATGAAACAATGCATTCAAAGTACCTGTATAAAAACTTTGCAAGCGACAGAAAGGAATTCAATAATGAGGTGCATAAAAATAATCTGAAGGATTCTTCCTAGGTATGGAAAAGAAAGTAAATCAGTTTGATGTCTGTATGTGTGTGTCAGGGTTGGTGCCCTACATGCAGAGGCTACGGGCACAAGTAACTGTGTGCTGCTGAGGTAGAGTGGACAAGGCCGGAGCTGACAAAGGGAGCAGGGGAAAGCCCGGCTGAAATGGCCTTCCCCGGCGCTGATGGGCAGTGTCTTGAGTCCCCATTCCCTAGATGCTCTGACCTCAGCACACAACGCACTGTCTTTGGAGAGTGGAAGCCATTGGTCAGCCCCATGTCCGGCTGTGGCTCCCTGTCTGCCTGGGCTCCCATGCCTTCGAGCTCCCCATTGTGATTAGCCACTAACTTTATCGAGGGAAGACTCAAGGGGCTTTGGGCTACTGATAGTTCCTCCACCATGTCCTCCTCTCCTGGTGGACTTGGAGGACTCAAAGGGGAATACATGTCCTCTGATAATGAGTTCGCTCCAGTTGTGTCAGAGTCCTTCTCCCTTTGGCTGCACTCCTCATCTTTCTCCCTCTCTGGTTCGGCCAGCTGTGAGTGGACTATTACTTCTGCCTCCACTTGGTTACTGCACACGGATGTACACAGATGATCTCCACAGTCCTGCAACAAAACATCATTGTTACATTCAGTTCCTCAGTTCTGAGTTGATTTTCCACAGTAACTGCTCATAGGATCTCCATCAAAGCTACTCCTAAGTAAGAAAAATCAGAGCAAGATTCTACCTTGTTACATTCAAATTTTAAGGAGTTGGTCGCTTGATGTGTCTCTCCTTAGCAAATAAGGGTTTAGTAAAGGCTTGTCTCCTTCCTAAAGACTTAACCCTCACATACTGTTCAAATCCTGTACCCTCACAGTATGTTCCGGGTCAAAATTGCCCCTTCAAAGAGTTCAAAGAGCAGCTTCCTGTCACAGAAAGTTCTCTTGACTAGTTAGGTCATTTTGACCTCTGTCCAGGTGTGTCTGTGTGACTGTATGTCTGTGTGCGTGTGTGTGTGTGTCTCCGTCAAGGTAATGATAGTTTCATATTGATTTGAATATATCTTTTTGAACAACAAACCTTATATTGAACACTGTTGTTACTGTTTGTCACTTGTCCCACACTGCTAGATCTAAAATCCATCTAAATAGATATGGGTCAAATTTGACCTGTAACAGCCTTAGAGGGGAAAAATTTGTATAAAATAAACAAAAATACACATGAATATTTTTTGATTAATTTCATGTATTTTGGGTTATTTCAGGGAAAGGTGTCAAGTTTCAGGCTTAAAAAATTATGTTTAGGGTATTTTTACTGCAGTTAAAAGTCAAAACGGGTCAAATTTGACCCTGAACGGTATGTGAGGATTAAAGAGGGAGATCAATGCATTGATTACATTTTGTCTTATCTATTGTAATGCTTTGTTGCCTCACTGTGCTGCTCTCTCTGCACTAGCCTTAAGTCCATTGAAGATCACCCCCTGTCTTACTTAACTTCTTCATGCTCCCATTCTGGTAAAAGTAATAAGGTCGACCGATCAGCTGCTCCTGAGTGCCCCTAAATGGGGTATCAGGTATTCGCAGCAGCGTTCCTAACCTGTGGTTCATCTACCTACTTTTATTCTATTCTACTTTATCTCATTATGAAGTTATCTGTATTGTTGTTTTCTTGTGGAACCTTTTTTACTTTGTGGCTAAAACTGAATATGCTCCTTGGAAACATGCTGATGTCTAAAACAGATCAGTCATTAAAATTAGTTCATTCATTACCATGCTGTTATCAGTAATGAGCTTGTTGAGAGCTCCATTAATAAGTGTTGGAGAGTCCTCTGTTATGGTGTCTCTGTATCTTGTGATTCTGTTGGCCCAGTTATGGCTCACAGAGCCGTTCCAAGCAGCCTGAAAGAGGAACAGCACGCACAGTTGATGCAAAATTACAACAAATACTCCTCTATCAGCATGAAAAAAGTAACACAATATCCAAGGCCCATCTGGAAAAGAGCTACCCCTTTGACCTTGGGTTCAGCTGCAGGGCCATCCTCCCCCTCCCCTGGATTAGCACTTGCCATCAGGCTCTGATCCTCTGGGGCCTCCTCTAGCGGCTGACCAGACTCTTGGCTGCCAGGGGGCATCAGGGTCTCCAGCTCATGGCTATCACTGCACTCTGGAGCGTTGGAGGGAGCAGGGCTTCCTCCTCTCCTGTACTGGGGGGTCACAGCTGTGGAGTCCAGGCCCCCTGACACCTCCCTAAATAGAGCAGAGATGAAAGGGATACAGTTATCAATGTTGCTATAGCTAGCTTTGTTCACAAGACTGTTTTTATTACCAGTAAAACAACTGAGGTGTTCATAGGTACTGAACAGATACTAACACTGAGTTACCTTACCTCGATTTGCCATTACGAAAGCTGAAACACATGCAGAGGAGAATGCATATCAACCCAAGACACACACCAACTATGATGCCCGTCACTGCATGGATGTCCAACTCTGTTAAAAAAAAAAAACATACAGAAAAAGAGGAAATATTTAAAAATGAATGTAAACAACAACCAGGGCAGGGAAGTTAAGTTTGAGAGTCGAGCAGACGTACGCCATGTTGGTTTTCAGACTTGTTTTTCTGCCAGGCACTGAATTAAAAAGTTTATTGTATATTTTATATTAGTGCCACATTAACACATGTACTTCAAAATGCTATGTACACAGACTCAGAGAGAACGACTTGATTTTTTCATTAGAGCAACATATAATAGTAGTAGTAGCTGAGAGATATCAGGCAACACTGGACTCAGGAGAGCAGGGTTTCATTACTATTCATGTATTCTGGGTATCTTTGGCAGTCTGGACATAGAAAGGAGAGGAAACAGATGGCCAAGCTTTCACGCACCCACCAACCGCCTCACTCACATTTACACTGTACACTGGCACTGCTATCACAGCCTATGTGAACAAAATAAACCTGTTACTCTGTCTTTTTATTAAAAATTTGGCCACAATACAAACAACACAAGCTGCCATCCCACCACATTAGCCAGCTTTGTCACAACAGGTAATTTTGTGTTCAGATATAACGAATATCATTTTAAACGTTGAATTCATTATGACAAATAAATATATGTATACTTTCAGTTTCTGTACTTCGAGTTGGTAGATAGTAGGTATGTGACATTATTATTTAAGCTCCAGTGAAGAATATCTGGCGCCCCCTTTGGACAAAACAGGAGATACTTATTTTGTCCTCGAACTGTTCTGTCCTGACAGTCAAATGTACCGTTTGATGTAGAGATGGTATAAACAGGTATTTCTTAAGCTGCTCAGTGAACACTGAGTCTCTAACACTAGTTTCAGGCATTCTCATCACTGCAGAGAAATGATCAATCTCATCACTGATGGTCTTGTTGGCATATCATAAAAAGGCATTAGTATGAATTTCAATCTGTTACATAAATGTCTTAAATTCTTCACAGCAGCTTTTAGAATGAGTCACACAGACGTTAGCAGCAACTTTTCTGTGACTTCTTTGTTAAGAAAGTTTTGAATAATTATTTTTACAGAATATTAAGAAGAATATCATCTGTAAATGAGAATGACAAGTTTACTTTAGACACCATTTGACAGAGAAGTTGTGGCATTGTATTTATGATTCCCCCCAGATTAAAGGACTGTAACATAATTACTGTTCAAGCTCAGACTGCTGACTGTTGCAATTAAAACAGCTTTTCAAACGTCAAACGTAAAAAGACACAGGAGCAAAGGAAGTGCTTTCACAGCTTTTCTTCTGCTACAAAGTAATTTACAGCCCTTCCCCTGGGGGTCGCTGTTGAGACCACCTCTTCTGTTATCCACACTTGAAATTATCCCCAAAATGCTCCAAAATATGAGGAGCAAATTACAGTGTCCTACTGAGCCACACTTTTCCTGTTGGCAGAGACAAATTACCCACTTTACACGGAAAGACAGTGTGTGTTTGTGTGTGTGTATAAACATGGATGTGAAGCTGTTAGTGTGTGTGAAAGTGTGGTGTACAGCAAAAACGAAATACCTTATTTAAAAGTTTAACTGAGCTGGATACCTAATCTTAACATGCATAGCACAAATTTTGTACGTATGTAATACATGTTATGTTAGGTTATATGTGTTTGTTTTTTTAAAGATGATCCGTCTGAACTTTTTCAGACTTTTAAACCCTGGCATGGAGAAAGGACCCTCTTTGAAATATCAAGAGAGGTGGAATTTAAATGAAACATGATTTGCCTTTTTTTTAAAGATTTGTATACAATTCAAGAGTCTAGCTCTTCCCTATTATGAATCCTTGCTATGGAAAACGATTATAATCCTACTCTTTATTTTTGATTTACCTCTTTCTTTCATATTGTAGTATAGTTTGGGTTAGTACTTCTCCTTCCACTCTCATGAAATTCTGCTTTCTTTTGCTAGGATGGCAACACGATCAGAAACACATCTCATGCTCTTTTGATCCAGAGACTCCAGATTTTCAATGTTTATAACATCAAATGTGTCTTTTTATGGATAAAATACCATGAGGAGCGAGCACCCCAGAGCACTTCAAGACTTGAATTAAATCAACTTGACACATATATTTTTAGTAAACCTGTCAAACCTTTTCTTTCATCCTTTTAACTGTCTTACCTGCAGGGTTCAAACTCTCGAACCTTTATTCATACCTGACACTAAACGGTTTCTCTGTAAGATGTTACAAAAGATGCCTGAAAAAAAAAAAAAAAACACTTTCTGCCCTTATGTAATTATATTCATTTTATACTAAAATGTCTGTGTTTAGGTTTATCTTAATTACCTCCAGTTTAACTGCATTAGTTGTTATAGTTATACTCATGCTGCTTTTAGTCAAGTTGTTGTAGTCATAGTTATATTGTTAACTGTTAGTTTAACACATCTTAGTATTCGTCTTGATGTAGAAAAAGTATTATTATAACTGTGCTGAATAAATACACTAATGATAAAAGTTTGCCTCACTGTCTCATCTGAAATCAACCTGATCGCAGCAGCTGCAGGCATCAAAATAACTACTGAGAAAAATAGCAGCAGTTGTCAGTGATGTTCTGCTGAGCCTCTTTCAGCTTAACAATGACATCTGTATTAGTTTTGTTATGTTTCATAACTAGTTAGAAACTCCTCACAGCAGCTTGAAGATGGCAAAATGAGATTTATATATTCACTGTAGCATTTTCTAACACTACCCATTCAGCAAATTTACTGAACCGTGATAACTGTTAACTAAAATCACATTAACATGCAGAATAAGACATACCATATTGCTGGTGGGGGATGTGAACATCCTTTATTGGAGAATAGGGCCCTGGCCCCACCTCAGTAGAAGCTCCCAACTTGAAAAAGTATCTGGTGTCACTGGACAAACCCTGGACCTCTACACGGGTCATTGTCCCTAAAAAAAAAATAAACAAAAAATATACAGTCAAAAACGGTCTTTTCAAACCAATACACTTGAATCTTTATGTAAAACATGATGAAAAAGAGAGTGTTTGTTTTCATTTTGAGCAGTAATGATGAGTCATACTGACCATCCTGAGAGAGGTTTTCCCACATGTGCTCTGGCTGGCTCAAGTTGCCACTGTACAAGATTTCATAGCTGACGATGATACCGTTCGGCTCCAGTGGAGGGCGCCAGCTCACCAGCACAGAGGAGGAATCCAGAGCACTCAGCTGCAGCTCCTCTGGAGGTGTTGAGGGCCCTGAAGGAGAGAGGACAACTCGGTCAGTAATTAGAGCCCAGCAATGAGGCGCCACAGCTGCAGCATGTATAGTGCCTTGGTGGGGGATTTGACATGTTGTGTGACAACCATCTGCGCCCTCATGTCTGGGCCACTTGGGTACAGCAGAGAGGAGACAGGCAGGGCAATGGGGGGAATGGGCTGGGGCTCAAGTGATGATACATGGCAGTAGCGAGCGTGAAAGGGTGACTGGTGGTAATAATGTCATTAAAAGCAGCCCATTCTGCACTCAGCACCCTCACTTGGCTGAGTGACAGAGCTGCTGGCCAACATAAGAGCCGATACTACACCTGGGTATTTCATTACAGCCAGTTATCAGCCATCAATGCCAACCACTTATTCCCATGTCCACTGGCTACAGGCCAGCCAACACACTGATCAGTGAACACACAGCCACTTTTACTCAAATGTGTATATCATTGCATCAGCGAGCCAAAGTTTTACACCTTTATAAAGTAAATGAAGATTTAAATACTGAATTAAGTCAGTCCTAATCCACAGCTAATCAGACAAAAATGTTCACAGCATGGGAGTCGGGAACAGCATGAATAAGTGTGGGTATTTAATCTATTTTAATTCTAAAAGAAGTCTTTAGGGGTTTCACTTTTATGCTCCTAATACCTTTATTTTATGTGAACTATTCTGCCCTTAAAATCCATCTCATTTTCATCCCAAACCCTTTTCTTTCAACCAGTTAAAGTGTAAAAAACTAAAGATGTAAAACACCCTGCATCCTTGACTTCCTCTCCCTGAAAAATATCACCATTCAAATAAACACACATGCAGCTAATTAGCATTACTTCACCTTTCTAGGTTTTTTAGCACATTATTGTCCCCTCTAAACCTTTTCAGGTTATGTGACTGATTAAGGACAAAGCAAAAGCTGTGGAGTAAATGACATTCACCAGAATCAGGTGTCAGAGTGCAGACACAAGGGACAGCAAAAATTGCCTTAACAATAAAACTCTTTACAAAATAATAAATAATTCAACAAAAATAAATCAATTCATTATCTAGTGTGGTTATTTACAAGGCCAAAAAATCACTGCAGTAATCTTTCAGAACTTTTTTCCTGGGTCTGTAAACTAAAACAGGACAAACTGACTGCACTGGTAAGAGACTCACGGTCAGACAGAGTAGACTCCTCCACTGTGCCGCTGAAGGGTCCCACCACATCCACTCCATTAGACTGCACCGCCAGCTCATAGCGGGTGAAGGGCTTCAGAGCCCCGAGCAGTATCTCCTGAGCAGAGCTGCAACACACAAACCAGAAAGAGCTCTTTGTGTGTGTGTGTGTGCTGTGTGTGTTGTGTGTCTTACATTCTGCTGTGCAAAGAAAAGCATGACTCAGATTTTGAAAAACATAATCATTCAACGTTGTTACCTCTGAACACCTTTGCTCTTCCTTGCTGTCATCAACTTTCCAATGCATGCAGTTTATACAGCTCTTAACAAAGCCCAATAATGCACATGCTTAAGTTATCTGTTTTAGATTAATGACAGACTGATAAATGGATTGGATCAACTAATTGAGATATTTAACGGCAGTTTCGAGTAATCAGCATTAGCTTATACCTGGGCTCGTTAGGTTGATGAACAATTAATGTCTGCAAACACTGCAGACTGCCTTGTAAGTATAATGAGCAATACTTGTGTCCTCTTGATGTATTTCTGTTTCGAATGAATCAAGTCAAAAGCCATTTGAAACATGTTTCTGGTCAAAATAACCATGCATATTGGACTGTAATGAATATGGAATATTGACTTATATTTTCACTAAGGGTTATATTCTATATAAACTATCAGCTAACTGCATCGGTATCAAAACAACATTGGTCAGCTACTTTTGCATATTTACTTGTTACACCATGACTAAGAACTGTGCAAACAAGCAGATTCAGTTTCACTCTATTTCAAGATTTAGTTGCAATGTTCCTGTTGTTTAAGGACAGCTCACCATTACGACAAGGGACAGACAGCTGCTACCTTCAGGTAATTTGAGGTTTGAAATAAGGAGTTGAAAATGTCTCTGACTCATACAGAGGTAAGTCAGAAAAACTCAGTCAGATGTGACACTAATTCTTGCTGTCTTACTCATCACGTTTCACCTCACCTTCAGTGGAGTTCTTCATTTTACTGTCGGTAATAACAGCTAAAGCTAGTTCATTTTCACAATACCTGAGTGCAACAAGTGCTGGGCACAATTTTGGTACTTCCTATTGATGATAAATTGTTGGTTTAGTGTGTGGATATAAACTTTTAAAGACAGAAGTGAAGAAGAAAGGTCAAAAAGCCTAAAAGACTGCCCATTGCTTTGTGGCGGAACTTAAAGTTTATGCAGCCATTACATTTGCTCCCTAAACCTTAGACAGGCAGTCCACTAGGCTGAACTAATTGTTCAAAGTTAAGAGGAGGCTCTTAGGACCTCTAACAGGCTTTTGTGCTACTATTACCACAGCTTTGTTCAGCCTTTGGGTTGGCTCTTTCAGTACCGCCTGAGTCTCCAGAGATCCTTGATAGGGGCGAGTTGATTGAGCAAAGCCATTAAACTACCTTAAATGAGCTGCTCTAAGGAGGTGGAGGTATAGCCAGTGGAAAAGTGTTGTTATTCTTATCTCAGATTGGTGGTCTCACAACAAAGACAGGGGTGGGTATCTTCAGGGAACCTTCCCTAGGGCAGCCACATGTCAGCACCCAGTGGAGGCCCCTGTTATCAGGTTGCTCTGGAAGGGTTTGCAGCTCCTTGCACTAACTTTCATTTATTTTTAGCGTGTTAACTTTTATTCTTTGAACGACGAAAATCATATTGCTTTCGGTACACAAAGCGCATTCATCGATATCCTATTTTGAAATTTTTGCCTTTTTAATTGCTTTGTAAAGCACTTTGAATTGCGTTTGGATCTGTATGACAGGAGCTTAATAACCGAAGGCTGCTTGCTTGATTATCTCATACTACTTCAGATAATTGGGCTTTTGCAGAACACACACTGATATAAATCTAAACACACCAGAGGCAGTATTGTTTAAATGTTAATCATGAACCACAGTGATCCTCTTTAACTTTTCAAATATGACTCAGACGTCTCTTTTTCTGACCTGGTGTGGTAGGAGACCAGGGAGGCGTTGGTGGTCCCTGCCGGGCTGCAGCGCACTGTGTAGTTGATGATGCGTACATTGCTAAACCGAGGCTTCTCCCAGCGCAGCCAAATGGAGGTGGAGCTGTTGGCCATGGCTTTGATGCTGCTAGGGGGCAGTGGAGGGGGGCGCATGGGCGGCGCTGAAGCTTTAACACACACATTTGACATGGGCAAATGTTAACACAATTATCAACGTTTATTTGTTTTGAAAATGACAAAAATATCAGTGGAGCAGATGTGACTCGTTCATTTGTTTATTTATGTGTAGATCCACACGAGGAAGAGATGAATCTTACGTCCTGGGGCCTTTTCTGTCCTTCCCTTCCACACAGCAGCTGCTCCCTCTATCTGCTTGTTGAATGCCCACACCTTCACCTCATACTGACGGTCAGGCACTGACATACACATGAGAGAGGGAGAGAGAGGGAAAGAGTAGACATACATACAGCCATGTATACTGTTACTGTTAACATATACTGTTAACAAATCTTGCCATTCTGAAAGGCAGTATCTCACAAAAGATGAAATTATAGTTTTAGTAGTGCCAGTCTATTTCCATGAGTGTTTAATCTGAATCCTTAAAACCACAAATGGCAGCTGCTCTACCGCCTGCCTGCAGATATTTTAACTCTTGACACAAACCTCTAAATGATTGGCTGAGAAATAATTCATATTCCTGTGAGTGTGGTCCATCACTTTCTGCGTCTTACTTTTTAAAAGCACTCTTTGAATAAAATGTAACACTCAGTCTTGCAAGGACACAATTTGCAGCTTCTCCTTGATCAGCCTTTTAAAAAAACAGTATAAAAGCATGGCTTTTCTATTTAAAGTGGGCATAGTGTAAAATAATATGTGTCGAAGGTTATAAAAATGAACATTAAGTTCCACTCACAGGAAATTGCAGGTTTTGGAGAAGCAAAGCACAGTACAACTAAAAGCACGTTATTTGAAGAGACCTCGGTCACAAACTCACCCAGCCCAGTGAGGAGATGATATTTGGCCTTTTTTCTGAGCCTGATGGTGTGGGTCTGCGTTGTCCTCTCTCCATTGGTTGAATCTTCAGCCTCCAACTCTCGACAAGACAGCTTGTACCCAGACACCAGCGTGTGATTGGGTGAGGGATGCCAGGTCACATTCAGTGTGTTCACTCTGGCTCTGACTTTCAGCTCAGTGGGGGCAAAGATCACTGAAACAGAATGAAGGAGAGAGGGAACAAGTTTAACAACTCCACATGATAACATTAACGCTAACACAAACCAGGGGGCTTAAACATGCTTTGTTTTGACTGGTTGCTTGTGGAAAAGGTCAAGACCTACAGCCCAAAATAGGACTTTAGTTTCAAAACTAATAAAGAAGCAAAGCCACTTAAAAATACAGAGTACAAATGCCTGTACTAGAAAAAGAGGCATGAAATCTGAAATATTTGGAAACACTGTCTAAACAAGGAGGCTGTAATGCAATAACTTTGCACATTATTATCAGTCAACAAAGTGAATGAGTATGAACAAAAGTTTAACTTCGTGCCAGTCCTCTTCATAAAATCAGTTGTATTTATCCAGGCTCCTTTATTTTGTTGTTAGATGTTATTTTGTCCATCCCTCTTCATTGAACTGTCTTAATCTTCATGTAACATATCCACAACATGTTGGTCCTTATAAGCAAATATGAACAAGTGTTTCAAAGTTTTATAACAGGACATTCAATACTAAATTCAATAATATTGGTGTTCTCCTTACCCATGCTTTGGTTGCTGTGATTGTAGTGAGCCAGTGTTTGGTGAACAGCCCACTCAGAGGGAACTCCAAAGCCGACAACTGTCCCAGCTGTGATCCTCAGTCTGTAAGCCTGGTTTGGCTGCAGCTCTCGGAGTGTGAACTGAGTCTCATTACCCCCCACTTCAACTGAGAACACTGTGTCTGCTGTGGGAAACACACACGCACGCACGCACGCACGCACACACACACACATATATTCAAAGTACACTCAGTCATCGGTACACTTAATATCAGTCTCACCAAAGTTATTTCTGTTATGGAGTTAATGTTGCTTTTAGAATGTCTGAACTTCAGCTGCTTTAGCCAGTTTTTATATTCATACCCCATCATCATCAGTATTATGTAAGTAATAGATATTTTGGTCATAATTATGATACATATCAAGATCAATCTGTTATTTTTTAATTTACAATTTCTGGGAATAGTGCAAACACTTTGAACATAATAATTGGGATTTTAACCAATAGTCTGTATGAGATGATGTTTCTGTTGTAGTTGTTGTTTGTCTCTTTTTTCTGCATCTCCCCCTGTCCCTCTCTTCAAGCCCAAAAGTGTCTCGGCAGATGGCTGTTCAACATGAGTCTGGTTCTGCTCGAGGTTTCTGCCTGTTAAAGGAAGATTTTACTTTCTGCTCTACTCTAATGGGAAAAAATGGGATGAGACTGAATACTATGATAGACTGATATTGAACCTTATCTTATCCCGATGTTAAATATTTGTACATAATATTAACAAGAAGTATAGTCCACATCTGTTTCTTTTTGTAAAGCATCTTGAGATTCTTTAAGCAAATTGAGAATTCTGTCTTTTTTAAGGCTAGTTTATGCATAAAATGCTCAAGTTCCTCAAGTTTATGCATAAGGAAGAAATTACTGTAAAAAATAACATTTTTTTCACATAATGTGTTCCTGTAGCCTAAAAGCTTGTGTTGCCTGAAATCTTTTGAGGAGTTTTGTTTCTGTCTCTGTTCCTCCAATTTCATCTTTGTTTTAACATCCCTCTATACTCCAACGAAGAAATATTTTTGAATTTTGAAACATTTGATTGAATTCAAAACAGGTCTTTGATGAGGCTGTTCACCAACCATGAACTTCATTTTGTAAACAAATCTTTTGTAGATTTATGTTAATGAAAAGGATCCTTTTAAGAGATACACTTATAAATTCAGAGTTCATTTTGAAGGTCAGTGGTCTCACATTTTCCCTTAAGCCCTAGATGATACAGGACATAATGCCAAACCTTCTTGCTGAAAGTTGTTCTAGAAAAACAACTTTCTTCCAACATGACATTTCCGCTGCTGTGATTTATGACTCACACAAGGTCCTCCTCGTAAAACACTACACTTTCCACAAAACAAATCTTTTGTATCTGCTGCCAAAAACCTCTTCTTTACCTTATCTGTCCAGAGTTCACTGTTCAGAAGTTCTTGGCCTGGGCGCAGGTATTTTTTGGCAAAATAAAGTCTTGTCCTAATCTTGTTTATAGACAGCATGGGCTCCCTTTTGGCATACCTCAAATACAGGTCAAATGAGAGCTTTTTTTTCTGACTGCAGAAGCTCACACTTTGACACCAGTTGTTATACGAGATACCTGCACAACTTGTAATAACACCTTGGTGTTGTTGGGAACTTGTCTTGGTAGCTGTATGAAATTTTCTTTCTTTTATAGTGAAGTGAGAGGGGCAGAATATTTCAGACCTTTAGACATATATCTGTGCTCCTGATGATTTCAAATCCTCATTTTATGTAGACAAGATGATACTACACCCTCAAATAACTTTGAGTAAACCATGATGACTGAATTCTGATATCAAATAATTATAATTTTCATAAGATGATTCCTAAGTACCTCAATTCTTGTGGTAAATGTGATTAGGCCACACAACTCCTGTTTGTAATGGTTTGAAATGCTTGTTGCAGTGGAAGAACACAGTCAACACCTATTGAAACTAGTACAGCATGTTGTGGTGCTGTTCCTGTTTTTACACTATACATAGTCAGCACATTGTTCCATTGTAAAAAGGCAGTGTATAAACAATGATCACTTGTCCAGCAGTATATCCCATCATGCATTGCAGTGTGAAAAAAATTAACACCTTAAGGCACAGTAAAAATATGACTACAAGCCTACATGAAGTGGAAAGTTGACATTTTTCATGGGTTGTACTTACGTAATGACATACATGTATGTATTTCAGAGCTGGTAATGTTTTATGTGGAATTAATGCAGGTTTACTTTTTTGTGAAACCAAAAGTTTAACATAAAATAATTGTGTAACAAAGACAATACATTCTGTGCTTACTGTATTTCTTGTATTAAATTTTCTATTTTACTGTCTGTCAAGGTCTAATATGAGGACAATGTGAACTCACTCTCCCTGCAGGAAGCGCAGTATTCAGAATAAACAATACTTCTCTACCTTTCTTAGATAAATTCACAGTATTCTCTTAACAATTTCCAGGAACAGAAACTTCATATTTCATAATTCAACTCGAAGTTTTTTAATGACCATTTTCTTGGTACAAATTTTCTGAATATCTTGAGTGTCTGTTACTGGCACTGAAGGTGAACTTGATGACCAGCAGAGGTTACTCACCCCTATCCAGAGTGCTGTACTCGATGCGGTAGCGGGTGACAGCGCCTCGACTGTGCTGCGGGGACAGTGGGTGCCACATGAGTCTGATGTCTGTTGGGGAGGTGCTGGCTATAGACAGCTGTGGAGGTGCGCTTGGCACTGCAGGAGGGAATAAAAGACATAATGAAGTGTCAGATGATGCGCATACAAGGCAAACCTTGTAAAGCTGCAGTTACTAGTCTGTTGTAAAGCATAGATGATCAATTAGAAGTCTATGCTTAGTAAATCTAAAATAGGGTACAGAAAATCAGTGTCCTAAAGAACTGACCGATGCCTATTATATATACTGTAAATATATATATATATATATTTTTTTATATATATACATTTTTTTTATACATTTTTGGAGTAAATGCTTCCAGTTGCTCCTAGGAAGCTACAACTACTACTTTTTAAATACCCACAAAAGCCTGTGCTTTATAAAGAGCTGATAGTGATGATTCAATGCTCTTAAAATTCTTGAGGACTTACAAGGTTGGCAAACCAATAATAATCGCAATGTGAGTCAGTGAAGCAACCAAGGCTGGCTGTATTTTACCCATGTTGCCTTATTTTACCAGCGTGGCCTTACTTTACCTGTGTTTCACTGCGGGTACTTACCGTCCTCCAGCATCTCCACAGTGACAGGCAGGGATGGGCGGCTGGCTCCCATGGGAGAGTAAGCCACAACAAAGAAAGTGTAGGCAGTGTGGGGAAGAAGCTCTTTGACGTGATACTCTGTGGTGTCGTTGTTCATAGCAAACTGGTACTCCACGTTATCTGAACCTTAAAGAGAGGAAAACAATCAAACCAAAGGATTTTCATAAGGATGTCTTAACGTATTGAACGCCTAGAGGCACATACTCATGAATAGACACACCTGTGGCAAGTTGGCAGTGCACAGAGTAGCCGATAATTTGGTCCGAGTTGTACTCTGGTTTCTCCCAGGTGACCAGGGCAGTGGTGCTGGAGAAGGGCGTGGCTGTCAGGTGCTGAGGAGGGCTGGGAAGACCCTCCCTCACAATCACCGTGAGCTTAGCGGTGGCACAGGCCGTGCCCAGTCCATTGTCTGCAATGCACTGGTAGTAACCCGCGTCCTCCAGTGCCAGCTGGTTGATGAGCAGAACTCCAGGGCTTTGGCTCTTCACTCTTCTAAAGGGCTTGATGGGCTGGCCGTCCTTTAACCAGTGGAGGACAGGAGGAGGCTCCCCAGAGCTGTTGCACACAAACCTAGCTGTGTTCCCCCGCGAGAGGGACGCTGTCTCTGGAGGCTGAAGAATCACTGGAGGAGCTGTTGAAGATAGGAAACAAATACTGACTTAAACAGGACACTGAAATGTATGTTGTACAAAAATAAAGACACACATTTAGAGCTGCACTTTCAACAAAATTGAGACAGGTTTACAAAGGAAGGTTCAAAATCAACACTGTAAAAACTAAGAAACCCTAACTTCAAGCTTTTCCCTGCATGTTTTGTGTTGTTTTGTTTTGTCACCACTTTGTCTTTTAGCAATTAGAAACATCATAAAAACTTAGTCAGTCTGCTTTTCCATCAAAAAGTTACCTGCTACAGAAAAGCTGAATGTCAGAATTGAAGGTGAACTTATTGAGCAGCGGTAACAGAAGTATGAGGGGATCATTTTAGAGCCACAGAATTTAAATGTCGTGTTGAAAAGATGAAGCAAACAATGAAGTCTAATCTTTGCTGTTTTATGATGATCAGAAACTATTAAACGCTCAGCTGTGCCTTCCTCGATTTAAATCATGTGATAATGTCACATCTGTCTTATACTTTACCAGCCTGGTCCCGGGAAAGCCAGACAGTAACCATTATGCAAAGTTTGTGTTCACATGTTTAAATTAATTAACCACAGAGCTGCAGCAGATCTGCGAGTGCAGCTGCAAGTGGTGACGGTGAAGTTTCATCAAGTAAAATATCATATCCTCAGGTTTCTCTGTGAAAGGAGCAAAATCCTGTTTATAAGTCCCTGATTATTTGAGACTTGCTGCAAATATAAAGACAGCAATTAAATCCTGGTAAATCTAGCAACAGACTGGTGCTTATTTCTGAATCTATATCAGTGTTGTAAATATAAATACTCTATAAACACTGTGATATTTTTACCTGATGGCTGAGCCCACTCTGTCTCTATATATTGTATCTGTCCTTAATAAATAAACTATAAATACATAATAACTAGAGGTTAAACCAATTTTTAAAAAATGGTAAAAAGATGTCAGAAAACACAAAAATTCAATTTGGGAGGTTATTGATTAATTTGGTTTAAGTTTTTCACTCTTTTAAGCAAAAAGAAATCACTCAATCAACATTGCTCTACATGTTACATTACAAACCAATCAGACCCTTAATGCTTATGGGGAAAACTTGTGTCACACTATAGTTCCAATGAAATAGCTCTCTAAAGGGCTATTGTTATATTAAGTCCACAATGTAACCCTTACCAGGCACATGAAGCTCTGCAGCAGCGATGACAAACTCTCTGGTCTTGGGCTTGTTGGCGCGGCAGACATAAACACCAGCATGGTGACGCCTTGTGTCTCTAATCACCAGGTTTGTTGCAAGGACAACAACATCAGTGGAAATGGGCTTTCCATCTGTTCAGAGCAAAAAGCAACAAAGAAAATCATGACAGCTTCAGTCAAACCTCAGAGATGACAAGAAAAAAGGAGACTGGCCTTGGGAAAAGTGGAGATAATTTCTGAAACTTTGTTGCCTGAGAAACAGACAAACAAGAAGAAAGCACTTGAAGATCTGGTCTGTAATTCCTCAAGTTGACCAACAGGTGGCTCTCTGACTTTTTGGTCAGGGGTTGACTGTGTTTTTTCTGCAATGGCATACTGCCAGGCTTTGTGTAAAATCAATCTCTATTTACTGTATAGACCATTACTTAGTTTGTCGGCCATTTTGAAGAAAAAAGTCACCGGCTTCTGAGAATATCTTACATTTCTTGGTGACAAAGTTTTGTCACTGAGCACCACCATCCACTTTGCATTGTCTGTGTTCTGAGTGATGGAAGACATTTTAAGAAAAGCAACACAATGTTATAAATTTCCAACCAAATTCCCTGTCAAGAACAACAACTGAAGTGAATCAGGAGGAAATCACAAATGCAAACTTTCGGCAATCTGAAAGGTCCACACCCACCCAGACTACCTTTGTGTGTGTGCATCAAAACTGCGAGAGTAATGAAGTTAATCAGACAATTTATCTAAAGTAAAGCACGGCTGAGAACACAATGGAACAACAGAGAAGAGTGATATACGACCCTGGTGCATTGTTGTTTGTTCTGAGTGTGCCAAATAGGTATTTTCGCGGCAGGAATCAGACAGATAATGATATCAGACGTAGCTTCAAAGAACAGAAAATATTCAGATATTACCTTGTCTGCTCCAGGACACCATGGGTTTGGGCTGGCCTTGTGCCATGCACTCCATCACGGCAGGGCGGCCGAGCACGACTGTTGCATTCTGGGGGGGTGCAACAATCATAACTCTGTTCAGGGCTTCAGATGAGCCTGAAACAAACAAGCAGCAGTAAATTTGGTTTCATGGGACACAGTGAAAGGTTGTGATTGAATTTGGTAAGTTGCCTCTCTGAATCACTGCCCACATCTATGGTGGTTTTAGCAACTGAAGTACTTCATTACAAGAGGATGAGGTTAAAAAATATATCAATCAAATATAACGTTCATTTGAGAAGAAAAAATGGTTTAAACAACAGATCCTGATTAGCCTGCACTGCTATACCACCTCTTCCTAGTTTCTCCTACGATTCATTGGACACAAACCCCAGCGTGTCAACACCACAGCAGGAGGAAAGCAGAACTCTAAGGCCCTCTTGAGTCATGCCTTTAAAACAATAATGATGAATTATCACTTTTAAAGTTCATGAAAAGAAGGTGGTCAGCCTTGCAGCCCAGTACTGATACATTAGCATCGTTTATCTCACTAAATTTTCATAAAGGCTTTTCCTCATTGAAAGACCAGTGGCTGAAAGCTGCTGCATGTCCTTTAAACAACCTTATTTATTGATTTAGTTTTTACTTTAATCTTAATTTTATCAGGTTAGTCGTCCCAATGACATTAAAAATACCTTCTTCTAAGGAGACCTGGCCATGACAACAGCAAACACACAAAGTTTCAGACACACATTTACAAGCACTAAAATTGGCAATAAATAATAGAGACTTTTGAAGAGTCAGATGTGCCCGCTAAACAAGACACTCTAGAGAACCTGCTTCAAATATTTTTATTTCAGATTTAAAAAAATCTAATGACCCCAGCTCCAAGATTTGAAGTCATTCTGCAATTAATTCAAGGCTAAGGGTGCAAAACCCCAAAGCTGTTCAAGCTTTTGGGGACTGACAGCATTAAAAAGTCCTGGGAAAACTTGTGATGTCCTGTATGCCAAGTTCTGACGGACAGGATGTTGGTTGACAGCGAAAAAAAGAGACATGAAGAATGGTAACCATTGAGGCTGTTAGGAGGAGAGGCCAATCTTTCCCTCTCAGTGCCCGAGGATGTTTATCAAAGCAAATTGTTTGTGGGATGAAGGTACCAAGCACTTTTTCTTGAGCTGCATGTACCAGTCCCTAAGGTGAAAGACTGCCCTGCTTCACCACAGTTTTGCTCAGCTCAGGCAGCCTCAGCGGCACACAATGCTAATGACCTACAGAGAGAGGCCCGGCATTCTGTAAACATATTATAAATTAATCATTGAGATTACATACAGCAGCCCTTGGTTACGCATAAGGCTTTAAGTGGGTCAGTTTGCCTTTGCAAGGGCTGGACTGCAGGGTGTGTCTTCAAAAGGGTCTTATGTAGGTATGAAGCATGTAGAAGAAGAGAAGCCAGGAATTGGAGCATTAAAAGTTTCTTTTTTTTCCGTCATCCTCTCAAGTTAAGTGCACAAACTCCACGACCTCAACATCAAACTGTCAAAGCTTGGACTTGAGTGTTGGAGTAATCTTATCATAGGAGTCAGGAGTGCAAGAAGAGTTGTGATGGCATTAGACCTGACATCTGTTACGCGTAATGGCGCTCAATAGCACCTCAAGTACTTTTCTCTATGGGTGTCACAACAGCCACAAGACCACTTACTCGGAATAGCCCAGAACCATCAACCTTCCTGTTGTTTCATGGTGGGAAAATCTGCTGAAGTACACTCTTTATATTCCAGCGAGTCATCTCCAAAATGACCCCTGTTTTTAAACAGTGGGGCGCAAAAATAAAAGGAGATACTCTCCCCTTTGTGAGATATTTTGTCATGACACGATGATACAGTCTAAACAAAAAATCATTGGAGTAATCACATTCAGACTTAACTTTGGGATAACTGAAATGAAACAGAGAAAAGAGAAGTTGAAACACGGCTGTTAGAATTCTTTGAAAACTTTTCAAAGTCATCGCACTTTATCTGATTCACGAGGACTTTTTGTGCCTGACTCTTTCTCCCTCTTTCTCTGTAACTTTTCTTTTTTCAGGACACAAAGGCTATGCTTCAAAAAAGGACACAATAGTTTCCACAGAGGAGCCAATTACAGCTGACTGATCTCCAGCTCGCCTTTAACACAGGCAGAGAAAATAACACGGCTTTAATGTTGGCTGCATTATGGTGAGATCTCACCAAACTGTCTTGTTGACTGATCCACGGCACCACTAGTCTGCTAATCATGTCCATGGGTTGAAGTCAACTTGGCTGATGACACAATGGCCAAACACTGAATATATCTCTTTATTCTTTTGAAAGCATTACTCATGCCAGTCACATGCTGGCCTTGAGTCTCATTGAATGACGCACAATCACAATGATGTAATGCTTTTACTTTGTTGCCACATTACTTTAAATTGATGTATATGACTTTTGAAGGACTGAAGTCCAAGGCACATTCAAACTTTATCAAGATTACAAAAGTGAAACAGACATCCTTGATACATTTGGCCCAAAGTGAGCATTACTGACTTTGACTGTAATTGTACGCAAACATTGAAGTCACTCCAAATTAATAACGTTTGGATGTTTTTCTCCAGTTACCAGCATGAGTCAGGCTTTTACCTTGTCACAAAAACAGTGAACAAAAATGCTTCTGTGAGCAGGTAAACAGACAGCTCCAGATGTCCACAGAAAGCTGAATGAAAAGTTTAAACTCGATGACATTACTTATAGAAAGGGACAAAACTGTCTGTCAACACTTAAAGGATAAAAAATATCTTCATACCAGTATGTGTTGAAGTGTACTGAAGGACAGGCGAGGTAAATGTTGAGCATTTGATATACACAATACAAACTGCAAGTGCTTTCATAACACAAATGCTTTGAATAGGAGGCTGATGGATGTATTAATACCGCACCAAGTTCACTGGCACATTTAGTTGAGATAGTTTTCAACACGAGTTAAGAGAAGATTCTGATGATCTTCTGATAACGTTGTGTAAAGTTTTGTTACCTCCGCCAAGGAGGTTATGTTTTCGGTAGCATTGGTTTGTTTGTTTGTCTGTTAGCAACTTTACAGAGAAAGTTACAATCGGATTGACCTGAAATTTTCACCCGAGGTGCGTCTCAGCCCCAGGAGGATCCCATTACATCTTGGTGGTGATCCAGATCGCCTTCTGGATCCAGGAATTTTTTGAAGGATTCTTTATCATTGTGAGATAGGACAAATTTTGGAATTTTTGCATTTAACTCTATAAAAATGGCCAGAGTCTTTAGTAAAAATTACACAAAAGGATCTCAATGAGTTTTACGAGATGTCAAAGGTTGATCCTGATCCAGACAAAATTCTGGATACTGTGATCAAGAACACACAAAAATAAGGGTGTCGTTGGAATTTTCAATGCTGAAAGATAACCAATGAAGATACAAGGAAGTGTACGCTTACAAATATTGCATAATAAATCATGCATTTATGTATCTAATATGAGCTTTTTTGTTTTAGGAACATTATGAACAGTGAACATACCAGTTTAAACACAAATAAAAGTTAATAAAAGACACGTAACAGTAAAAGTTTTGGTGTGAATCACAATATAAGGGGGGACATGAGCTGCTTGGCGGAGGTCTGCGCTCTCCGAGTGCTTTTCTAGTTATGTTTAATTTTAATTATAAGAGCAAGGAGCAGGGTGGCTTCAATGACTTGTTTGTCAGGCTGTTCAGACAACAGCTGTGCACCAAACCACTTAACCTCTGCAGTGAACTCTTTGAGCTGAATGTTAGCCGGTGTCAAACTTGTTTTTCAAACCATTAAACTTGAAGAAAACAATGACAAAAATGATCTTTATGTTCTCTCTTATTCCTACATTCATGGGTGTTTGTATCTTTAAACCATGACAGCTCTGACTAACACGTAAAGAGACTGCTTCCACAAATGCAATATTTTTTGTTTCATTTCGTTTATTACAACCCCCATTTTCAGTTTTGTTTATAATGTTAGCATGAACAGAAAAAAGTGATCTACAAACACCCTCATTCAGTGCTAATTATTCCCTCAGCAGGTGCATGCTTGTTCTAGGATCTGTGCCATAGTATAATCAGAGAAAAGAGTGTCCACATGTATAATCAACTGCAAGATACCCACAGTATCATGATGCCCGGGTATGAAATACAGCTTTAAAGCTGCTTTTCATTCAAAGGTCTCTGATTTACTGTCACTTCAGTTGATCTCCACTGTTCAGAATGATTCATGAACAGAGGCTGACTCATTAAAAGTTGTTTCCATATGACACAACACATTATTCTGTGACAATTCTGTCAAGTATCTAACTTAAAAAATAATATGTTGGATATTAGTAAACCTGTAGTGCGCACAAAGTGAGAAAATATATTTTTAGCGAGGCGCTCCTGACATAAATAAAACATGACTAAGTGCCCTCTCTGGTGCCCTTTCCACTGAAAATGCATGAAAAATTGCTTTCGAAGCTGGTCTTCTACAGGATAATAGATGAAAAGTGCCATCTGGATGCCCTTTCAGTCTACAAAATGAAAAAAGTGCCCTTTAAATACCGTCCTAGTAGATATAATGCAACAACAGTACACTCTGGATGTTCTCCCATTCTGAAAATTGTGGGAAAAGCACCCACTAGATACACTTCCAGAAATAAAGTAAAAAGAGCCTTCTTTTGAGTCTCTTCTCTTTTACAGTAGGTGACAGCCAGCATAAGGACCACTTCTATGAACACTTTCAATGCAATGTCATATTTCTTTTTTTTTTTCCAAGGGTAGTTTTTGTCAACACTAGCAAATCACACTAGTCCTTTTACGTGTTTTTATGGCACTAACTGAATCTTGAGCATTTTTATCTGTGCTTATATCATGGTTGCAGCCTCATGTGTTCTTCCTTCATGTTAAATTTAGCAGCACTGAGGTGTGACTTTGCAATATTGACAAAGACAACTTTCCCCTCAGGGATAATAAAGTATATCTCATCATCTCATCTAATCTGAAACTCCTGAAATTTCCAACAGACAATACAAAAACTGGGTTAAACACAATTTACCATGACAAAGTGCCACTAAAACTCCCATTAGATATTTGGGATTGGCCTGGCAGCTCCTAGCAGGAGCTGGCTGCTTATTGAAATACTATAAAGCACAACAACAGAGCTCACCTGTGGTGACTGTGAGCCTGGCTTCATGACTGATCTCCTTTCTGGCAGAGTTGGATGCAACACAGCGGTAAGCACCCTCATCCTCCTTGGTCACCTCCAGAATCTGAAGCACCCCGTTAGGAAGGGAAATGAACCTGTTAAGGACAAGGTAAAAGAGAGGCAAGAGAGTGAGATACAAAGACAGAGAGAAAGAGAAATAAACTACAGAGCAAATGCCTTCGTGCCCTGCAGCATGAAATATCCAGCAGGATCCCACTCTGCAGGGACCCTGCTGGGTCCTCACAGATTCAATCCTCTTTTATTTTGAAAAGATGCTTGGAAACCCACAGCAAAAAGGGTTGCAATCACTTGTCATGTGACTTCAATAAAGATTATTGTTTTTTGGACAATGATGAGCTCTCAAGTTCAATGAAAGCAAACATTATCCTGCAGTGTGTTCATAAAATGTCTGGTACCATATCTATTTCTGCTGCTGAAATTTACTGTATCTTATTTATCCAACACATCCCTTCCTCTCCTTTTTCCTATGGAGGTCAGGTTCTGGACATATTACTCCCGTACCCCAGGGCCCAGCCAATGTAAGGCATCCTATCGCCTTTATCAAACCCTATTAATCCCACTAAAATGTGAGCAGACGTAGCCTGTGTGGACACCAAGGAGAGAAAGAAAGCAGAGGGCAGAAGAAAAAGACTGCCATGAATGAAGAAAAAATAGGTATGGGTAGTCACAAAAATGTAGATGGAAATGAGTGTAAAATACAAAAAGTAAGTGATGTCGGAGCGGCCAATAGACAGGTAAACGAACATTAGAGCAGAGAGAACAGACAGAGGAAAAAGCAGATGATGCATCTGCTGTCTCTCAGCGTGTCTTTGTGAGAAGCCATTAACAGCGCCTGAGATAGGAGAGCCACAGCCCAGCAATAAGACCTTATAAGCAGCGGGCTGTTTGCGGGTCACGCAGGGCTTCAGCAGCCATTAGCACTTAGTCCTGTGCAATACGGCTGGAAACAAATTCCAAGGCGTCAGGGCCAGCAGAGCCACAGAGAAATGTCAACATCATTAAGTGGTGCAGTAAATGAGACTATTTGAGAGAGACAGCTGACAGAAAGAGACCTGTAGAGGGTCTGGCAGTAAAGAATATGAAACAAAATGTATTTTTCTTCCTCTGTATACCACAGGTGGGTTATTGTGAGAGGTTTGTTTATTGTTCTAGTAGTGCTGTTCTCACCATTGTTGAAATCCTCTTTATTTACTTGACTTAAAACAGTAAATACATGTTATGTGACTGCATGTTTTTATGATTGTTTTTACATTCAGTGCGTCTTGAATTGTATTTCTGAGGTCGAACATAATTACAGAAACAGATGACAATGTTATTGTGGGACTAAAGTTCTGCCATTGGCATGGACTTCAGTAATCTGAATGAAATGTGTGTATGAATACATTCATCTGACGTTTCATTATTATACCAGACAACTTCAAGGTTTTCTGATTTTCCAGTTTCAGTTTGTAGACAGAGGATTTACGTCAGGTACCGATGAAACAGCAACTGGCGATGCGACTGAGATACTTTGAAGGGATCAAGAATGAATGACTGCTGCTGTTTTTCATTCTCAAATCGAACTTAAATACTTTAATGCTTACATTTCCAAACAGATTAACAGCCAGTCTTCTAGTGAGCTAGCATTATGTTTTCATCATTCAATGAAGCCTTGAGTGAAGGAAAGAGGAGAAGGATGAACAGAAGTAAAAAAAATATTGTGTTCACTCTGAGAGAAGGCATGCACGGCATTTTGTGCATGTAAAACACTGAACCACATCAACAAATGAACCTAGAAAAAAACAAGATAATTTCTCCCAGTCTGTGTTTCTTGTTCATTCAACAAGTGATTTTTTTTTTCCAAATGAACAGAGGGTAACAAAATTGTCAATGCTGCATTCATCCACTTCTGTCAGTCCTGGCATAGGATCTTTGAAAGTATATAAGATTTTACCAGCTCTTTTAAACCAAAGATGTAGTTTCATTAAAACAACACCTAACGACTGCACAAACAGCATTCAGTGGTCCTTTGATAAGGAGTAAAAAGACCAATAAATCAACTCTAAAATAGGCATAAATGTACACTTTTTGCTTAATTTTGAGAGACATATTCTCCCATCTGCAATGCAATGGTCAGCCATATGAATCTGCAGGACTAAAGTACCACCAAACCCAAAATAGGTGATTTTGACCACAGCAACACAGAGATCTTGAGGAAACAGAGTTTAACAAGGAGAAATACGACTCAACCAAACAAAGGATAGACTGTTGTTCTTTTCTGTTGCTCACTTACTGAAAAAGCTACTTGCTATCATAAGTTGGACTTGGCAACAACAGTATTTCAGGACCTATGAGAATCAGAGGATACCGGCAGATCACATACAGCTGCAGTCTGCATCACTCATCATCCAGAGTTATATGTTGTGCTAAACACTGTTATTTTGCCGATTCTCTTCTATTTTTAGAAGTTGGATCAGAACATCAGGAAAGCTGAATGGAGGTAAATCCTCAAAGTCAATTTGTGGCTCTCATCATTTTTTTTCCACCACATAGTGACACAACCCGTGGTCCAAATGATTCATTTACCTTATTAAACTACAGGTAGTAGGAAATTAAACTTAGAGTCCTTGCTCTAAAAAACTTATCATGACATCTGTTGCTTCTGGGGAATGGATTGTTGCATGGGGATAAAAAGCATAAGTGAAAAAAATGAAATGAGCAATTTTCTTTCAAAAAACAGCACACTGTTGTGATGGTGTATAATTTTAATGCCTTTACTTGATGACGAATGATTAGTGGAACTCAATACAGGTGAGCAAGTCCCCACTGACAACAACCCTAATGAAGACTTGAGTAGGTTACAACTTGTCAGCCTTGTTATGATATGTGCCATGTACAATAAAGGCATTTCACATATATACTATCACTACAGTGTGCCTTAGACTGATCTTTGAGAGGAAGTTGCAGATTTCATTTTTTCACTGAAGTTTCTTTTTTTCAACCTGCGCAACAATCCCTTTCCTCGGAAGGGAAACACATCCATAACAGAAACAAGAACCAGCAGCACTTCTACTTCTCTTAATAAAACCTCCTGACTTTTAAATGACTTGATGCCATTATTTAAATGACCACTAAAGGACATCTATAATGTACAAAGTCCCAAAGTTTTCCCTTAGATCAAATCACCTCTGTATCTATATACCGTAGTGTTAAAAAAATGAAAAAAGAACAGAAACCAATTGAAGTGTCACCTCGTGTCCTCAGGAGCAGCCTCGTTGTCCTTTTCCCAGGTAATGAGAGGCGTGGGTACTCCCTCAATCTGACACTCAAAGCGAGCGGCTCCCCCACTGGGCACCGTTTGTGGTGACGGCTCCTGATGGAAGTTAGACAGACCTGTGGGCAGAGAAGTGACAGAGGTGAGGGAGGACTTTCAAAAGCACAAAAAAAAATCAAAATCTCAACAAATGATTGGCCCATTAACTTTTCGTATAACATCAGAATGACCTTTTTATTATTATCAAAACTTTGAGTTCCTTTTAATTCTATCTGCATAAGGAGTGTTTGGTGAGGAATTATACTTACAATGCTTCATGACTCTGGTAGAGTCTCTATCTCATAGACATTTGGTTGAATTCAGGCCATTTTGAGGCAAAACAAATCAAGTAATTAAAGGAAAAACTTGAGGACATTTAAATATCCTTGTATGTCTGATTAAGAGAAATGTGGCGATTTAATCAGGCTTGGCGAGATTATGTCCCTCTCACAGGTTGAGTCTTGGAAAAGCTCCAGTTTTCACAGCCTCAACACTTCCTCCCACAGGAAAGATTTCCCTTCAACAGAAAACACTGTGGCAGCAGGGGGCAGCACTGAGCACTGTCTGAGGGGCCTCTGACCTCTGACTCCCACAGGCTGCTGGAGAAAAGAACAAAACTGGCTGAATGTCCCAGCAACTTTGCCTGTAGCTCTGACTCAGGAGCAGAGAGTGGGAGAGGATGAAAGGAAAGAGCAGAGAAAGAAAGAGGAAAGAGAAACAAAGTGAAGGCAGAAGAAAGCAGACAAAGAGAGAAAAGAGGGGATGACATGAATGAGCTTAACTAAGAGGGTATGTAACGATCAGAGAGGGTGATAGCTGACAGGAGAATTTCAACAAACCAATCATAAGAAGAAATCCTGTCTGAGCCGAGTAATACGTAACAAATACGGTGAGACATCTGGATAAATCAGCCATTCTGTTTGCTTTCTGTGTCATTTTCTGCAACACATTTTCTCCATGTTAGGTTAATTGCAGAACTAATTCAAACCAGATTTGCACAGCATGAAAACATGCTATGATTATACCGCAGTGTATTCAAAGATTTCCTTTGCAGGAGGAATAAATTTGATTCAGTTATTCAAAAGGGCAGTAGAGACAGTTTATTAAATGAATGATTAAGTGTGAAGAAATTACTCAGCTATGCTTTTTTTTTTTCTCACAGAAGATTAGGTCTTGCTCGGAGGTGAGATGAAACCTGCTATCAAGGTTTCTGGTTTCTATAGCTGGAATGTTAATTTAACACGCAGCTTTTGGCAAAATGCAGAGTTAAGGAATCACCAAATTTAGCAGAGCCTTTTTGAAAATGATCTTTCTGTCTGGAAAAAGAGCAGACTTTATTCAGATTATATCCTAGCAACCCCCTTAAAAAACGGTGAGTTGATGTATGAAGCCGTTAGATGTCTGACATATTTACAGCCAACCAGTATGGCGGGAGATCGTCTTTACGGTTTGCCTCTGTTGTTTATATATTGTTCTCAGCTAGCGTGTTTGTATTGCAGAAACAAAAAATAAGATACTTTATTGTTCCGTTGGGAAATTTGTCTTGTACTTCACATCGCTCTCATACAGTAAAAAATATACTACAGTACATTAATAAACCATAAAAACACATCTACTTGCATCACTATAAAATTTAACACATAATCTAAAAATATATAGGTCTAGAAACAAATAAAAATCATGATGAACATCTGCGAGCACAGTCACATACACATTAAAGTTTAGGTGGTGTTTAGGAGGGCTTTAATAGACACAGGGCAAAACCCTGTATTGTCTCCCTGAAGGGAGTAGCTGGTATTCAGAGTGGAGACTGTGAGATGAGTCTGAGATGTTTTCTGTGCCTGTCTGATTTTGTTTTGATGGAAAATGCCAGGCTGATTGGGCTGCTGATAGATTCCTATGATTGACTTTTTGAATCTGTTGATTTGGACTTTCAAATCAAGAGTCCAATGAACAAACTGAGCAGAGACACGACACCAAAGGAGGATCTTGACTGCAGCACAGTAGAAAAGAAGCCGACAGATACCTTGTCATCTACATAGTCAGACTCCACCTGCCCACCCATGTTGTAATAAAACAAATCCATTATCTAATATTCATGATTACAGATTCTATTAGTCCAACAGACATCACCCCTTCATAAACCAGGGTGAGTTTTTTCAGATGTAAGAGAGCACTTCGCTGTGTGGGACATGTGTGAAACGCATTTTCATAAAATTTCAGGCCCTGATTGTTCTGTTGGGGAAAGATCATAAAAAGTACAGAGGCCTATACCTAAAGGGGGCTTTAGATGCTTAAGATGGTATCCACTGATGTCAGTATATATTTTTAAAGCAATACCACTGACTGTATGAAACATGAGTCTGGTCACAGTGATGTCTTCTGGTTTCTAAAGAGGTGTTGTAAGGGTCAAAGATGGCAGTCGCCATGCTGACTCCAAATAGCTTTTAGCTTAGCTAGAAACCAAACTCAAATTATGAAATGTGAATTTTCTGCAACAAGAGTCCAGAAATATAGTTAAAACACAACCAGGTCACGGCTAGTCCAGTAGGAGAGAGCACATGCTGAGGAGGCACCATTGTCACTGGTATGTAAGGGACTTTTCAGTCTCTGGCTGAGCGTTGGCACTGTGGGCAACATTTTTGGGGCAGTTGGTTTGTAGTGAACCATGATTTAAACTGAAAACACTAAACGCTAAAACTGTATGCAATATGAGAATGTTTTTATCTTCCCTTAACATAAACTGTTTAAAAAATGTATTATCAAGAAAGTCTTTAAGACCTAATGGACTTTTAACATAACTGTTAACATTCAAGGTTTAACTCTAGGTTATAGATTGCATCAAATACAAAAAGGAAGTAAAGAGACCAAACTCGTTTTGTATCAGGCTGTGATCGTGTTTGTTCTTTTGTAAAATGGGCACATCATTATGGGCTTTAATGGGGACAGTCAAGGCATGCCTCAAGTGGACGCTCAGGGAACTGCAGATCCCACATTTGCTTCATTTTTCAACATCTTAAAAGTTGCTGTTTGGTTAATTCACACAGATATTACCCAGATATTTGGGTAAGGACCTTCATCTGCTACATAAATGGTCTGCAGATTAACATTTCAATTCAGATCAGCAGCTTTAGTCTATATAAGCTACCCATCAGAGTGTGGACAAAGAGGAATGCTAACCTACTTCAGCAGAACTATAGAGGGGCGGACCAAGTGCGGGTCCTGGAACAGCTCCAACACTTCTCTCTGCTTTAACATCAAACTTCCAAGAGGAGGAATTTACAGACGTTCTTGTTTTTAAACTCACAACCTGACACAAAAACATTTCTACACTTGAGCTTTCTGAATATTTTGGACAAGATTTCCTCTAAACCACTGTGAGCTTAAGGAGACAGAGAGGCGATCCAAGATCACCCGACCCCTTTCACACCAACTGTTCATCGTGGCAGCAAACACACCATCTGTGTTTTTCCCACAGCGCAGAGGAACAAAGTTTGTGAATGAGAGAACAGAGGCTGTCACACTCTGTAGTAGCAGAAAACATGTGAGTAATTTCAGAAAAAAAAGCTGCAATGACTGTTTGATACCAAGCTTTGCAAGAGGAGTTGATGATTAACCTCTGTCACTTGCAGCCATTACACAGCATGACGCTGCCCTCATGTAAACACAGCACCTGTAACAGTGCCAGAGAGCAGCTGACAGTGTGTGTTGAGCTATTTGTACCTCAGTGTTTGCTCTAGTGTGTTCCTTGAATCCTGTACATGGACTGCCTGTGACAGCACAGAATGACTGTGTGCATGCGTGTGCAGGACTTTTGTGTTTGTGTGTGTGTGTGTGAGTGTTGAACAACAGCTGATCAGCGAGAGTGCACATTAGCGGACGTTAATGCATAGGGGATGGGAGGGGGGTGAGTTTGGGGAAGACACTCTGCCCACGCTGTGATGGAACAATGGCGACTGGCTGAGCTTCCACCTCCGCTCTGTCAAAGCGTAATCATATTAGTCTTTTCCCAGGATTCCTTGAGGGTCTGTAGGCCCAAAATCAAATTCCACAGCAGGCTGGTCCAGTGTGCTCAGATGCTGCAGAGCTGACATCGCTCCTCCTGTGACTTCTTTTTTTTACTGCCTCTCTCTCTTTCTCTCTTTCTTTCTCTCTACCTCCTGCCCTTGACTTTACCCCAACTTAACTTTCTCTGTCTTTGTTCGTCCCTCTGTCTATGCCCCACTCTTTGGCCCCACAGCTATCAGATTGCAGTGTTTTTCCCCTCCCCTTGTGCAAGTAGATAATTCCACCCGTGACCTTGTTGCTACCCAGCCTTCTGGCTGACTAACCGTGGGGAAACCCATTAAGCAAGCCCCTAACCCGAACTACCACTTGTATGAGCTACTGTGAAATATGTGCAATTTCTTTTATCATTTTCAATCTTCAGCATGATTCACTTCCTACATTTAAAGGCGTTTATCTCGTTCAAGGATTGTTTTCAACTTTTTTTTCACAACTGTAATGTATGGATGATGACAGAGGAAGATTGTAGAGGACAACAAATCAAACCTTGGCCACTGAAAAGTTTCAGAGGACTTTAAAAGTCTCACGCAGTGCAGAGTCTGGCAGAAGAGATCGAGGGGTTCCCAGTTTTGACAAGCACAGGAGTAAAATCACCAAATCCTCAATCTATGTTTCCAGGTACAAGGAAGAAATTTTCTTATAAGTGAGGACCCATCACTGTCCTTCATAAAAAGTGTTTTTCCTGTTAAAATTCACAGCCCTTCAACTCATTCCATTCATACAGAGGAAGATTTTTAACATATTTGTCAAAATCATGTATAGCAATAATTGGCTGACTCAAGAAACAAACCGACTAAGATCATGAGAAAAAAAATTGTCCCTCAAAAATCTGATTTTTACAAATATCTCCAGGATTTTTACAAATACCTCCATTATTTTAAGTAGAAGTTGGAGTTGAATAATGTTGAATATGTCTTCAGTTACTCAGATATAGTTTTCTTTTGTCTCAGACATGTACTCTTTTCACATACCCTGACATCTTTCAGCAGAAACTTCCACCTTCCTCAAAAGTGTCACTTGGTAGTAGGTGTGATGCATCAAATCAGCTGGTGTTACAGACGTGTGATCCTCCTGTCAAGTTTTTTGACTATCTTTTTGCCTCTGCAGGACACTACCCCAGATGTGTGAGAGCATGTATTCCCCCTCATCCCTGTTCATCGTCTCTGGGCCCGTCGGGCTCCAGCCCTGATTCTAATGAGAAAACTATTACTACGTAGAAATTATAGTTAATTGGCTGTTAGTTAAATTCATTTTACTTGTCTATTGAAAAAAAGGTTTTTAAACGTCAAGTGACACACTGTTGACACACAACTACATATCTACACGTCAAGTGTCAACAGGTGGACATTCAAAAAAAGCATTAACCAAAGTTATTTTCATGATTTATTCTTTCACTGTTGAGAAATGAAATACTGGCTTCTGATTGGGTTTTTACAGGTCAGCTGATCATAGGTCTAGCCTCCGATTGGTCTAAAGACCAAAACAAAAATGGCTGCCTTCCATTAGCGAAGTCAGCCAACAACAAAGATTAAAGACTGTCTCTCCCGTCATTGTGTCACATCATTGTTTTGCAAAGCACGCAGAACCAAGTGGAGGGTATCAGTAAGAGAAACACTAAGCTTTAAGATAAACTATGCCGATGGCTTGAACTAGCTAGAACTACTTCTACTCTAGGACTGGTTTTCCAATTCCCACTTAGCAGTTTAAAATATATCACTTGCCAAGAATTGCTGCTATGGAATGATAAGTAGTGCGCTGTAATCCACTTTGTGTGAAATGGTAATGAAATGCATTTAATATCACTATAAGAAACCATCAGTCTAACTTGTGATGGAATCACTCACTTTTGATGGTCATAAAGAGGAATCTGTAAGGATTTCAGCAGGAATAGAATCGATATAGTCAAGTCAGTGTGGCTTCCACACAGCCAACCTGGAAGTGCCCAGTGATAAGACCCTTATCAGTTCAATATCACTGAGTTTCACAATAAGTGTTAAATTATAACGACTCCTTGTGTAATTGGCTGTCTTACTCCAAACCTACAGTCTCTGTAGGTAGCATCCATTTGTTTCCACTTCATAATGCACTTTAACGGCAATGAATAATTAATTAACGTTTTCAGAATTGACTTTGGTGTGAGATAAACTGTTTTATTTACATCAACTGTGTAATTGCACAACAAATTATTTATTATTATTTTCTAAAATGTATTTTCAGCCTGTTTGCTTCTATTTTTGAGAGGACAGGACAGAGTAAGAGACACAGAAAGAGCTGAGAGCGAAGGGTTGAGGATCATAACCTCTTAATGTGGGGCACACCCCACTTTATTCTTTAGGTGTCGGGGTGTTACAGTTGTACATTTTCCCTGTCTGTTTGTTTCTAATAACATTCCAAAATGTTTAAAAATCCAAGTGCTGCCTGCAGATTTTACAGGTGAGGGCTGTTTTTCAGCCTCTCAGACGTACATCTTGTACTTATGCTGTTGTGATTGTTGTTGTCTTTTTTTTAATCTAGTCTCTAGCTTGTCTTTTTTCATTACTGTAGATCTCAGTATGTCAATAACAGTTTATCATGTGATAATTAGGAAACATAGATATTCAGGCAAGGAGCACTGTAAAACACCTGATAGGCATTTTGATTTCTGCTTGTAAGAAAGCCAATACAAGAGGCTGGTTTCCTCCTAAACTCACAACAATACCAGAGTGGAGCGATTAGGTACATGGCTGACTTTCCTCTACCTTTCATTACATGTAAAAACAAACTTCATCTCTGCATTCTAGTCCCTGTTCCAGTTATACTTGAAAGAAACCGAGAGCTGAGGAGGTCATATAGATATTTTTGTCTCTGTATCAACTGATGTCCAAAAACAATGTAAAAAACAACAATGTATTTTCAACACTGCAAACAAAAAGTCACGTGGTTCTCCTGTGAATCACAAACAAAAAAAAGCAGGAGTACATGAGATGAAACACCTACGTGTGAGTTGCAAAAGTTGGTACAAAATACAGCTCTCTAAAAGTTAAAAGAGAAAATTCACTTCTCTGCCTCTGTCCTTTGCAAATGAAGAGCAACGAGTCAAAGAATAAGCAGCTTGTTTGTATGGAGGAGGAGGAGGCATACTCTTCATGGTTATGGCATCGGCTCTTTGATTGAAAAGGCTTTGGAAAGCAGGTAGGAATTAGGAAACACTGACATTCACCTCAGCAGCCTCATAATGAGGAAGGTTAATTGATCTAATTAACATTAAAAGCAGCTTTATTTTCCAGCATCATCATTTATCCGTCTATGTATTTGGGGAATGTTATTTGCACACTGTACGCGGCCTTTGGCGTTTCGCCGAGAGGAGAGTGAGTAAGAGACTGAAACGCTGAACCTATTTACATTTTTATCAGCATTTAAAATAAGAGCAGGTCTCTTTCACTGTCGCCCTGCCTCTCAAAAACATTCACATACACTCAGATGAGGCCACATGCATCAAACTCTGCGACGGGGAAAACTAGAGCAGGTGGCTTTCGTAATGTGTTTTCACAGATGTGATCTCTGCTGCGTTCTCTCTTCAGACTCATTTCTGCCGCTCAAGTCGCAGTAAGAAATGAGAATGCCCGCTCAATGTCAACGTGGAGGCAGTTCGGCTGTGACCTGCTGCACGCTGGTCACATCTATCTCATTGCCCCTCACTGCTGATTTAATTCAAAAACCACTCACACATACATGTTGGTGTACACACCCGCCAACTGAAGGTCATTCTTAATGGTCTGCGAGGCTTTTCCTTTCACTATCACCGCAAACTCTCTTCAGCCTGTTCTGCCTTCCCACCATTCATCCAGCACCCCCCCCTCGCCCCCCACTCCTTATTGTCCCTCAAACAAGAGATCCTCATAAATAGGCATGTGACAGCTGACAAAAGCAGGGTCATCCACAAAGGATACTGTCTCATTTTACACAAAGCTAATGACTAAATAAAGACTGCCACTTAGCGGTGCGAGAGAAAGAGGCCTCCTTGGAGGGCCGATTAAAAAGCTACAGTGTGTCCTCTTGTCCCTCACACACGCATTTTCATGTTCATTTCTCTTCTTTTCTCCCACACTTCCTCCTTCAGTCCGTGCCTTTTAACAGACCGTTGTTTTAGAGTGTACCTGTTCCCAGGACACTTGTTAGCGCTCCACTGGAGGAGAAGTCTCCCCTTTGAGGCAGAGGAGGACCAAGTTCATCACCTTCAACGCGAGGAAAGTCCCTCGACAAATCTGACAAATCGCATTGCTCTGTGCTTAAGTGTGTGTGCAAGTACAGTCCACTGTGAGCTCCTGACGGATGAATGAATCAAACCAATTTCAGGTCTAATATCATGATGACTCTGCAGCCTGCATCTCATGGCAGTTATAGCTTTGACTGCCCCGAAACATACAACACAGATATCTTCATCTTAAAACTAATTAGATCTAGCAAACATTGTTTAAAACTCACAAGTAATCCGTTTTGCATCTGCTGTATCAGATCCTTGATACTGGAGTACATTTAATTCAACTCTACATGCTTAGACTAAAGCAGTGGTTCTCAAGTCCAGTCCTCGAGCCCCCCCATCCTGCATGTTTTGGATGTTTCCCTGCTCCAACACACCTGATTCAAATGATCAGCTCGTTATCAAGCTCTGTAATGGCTTAACGAGTTGATCATTTGAATCAGGTGTGTTGCAGCAGGGAAACATCCAAAACATGCAGGATGGGGGGGGCTCGAGGACTGGACTTGAGAACCACTGGACTAAAGGTAGTGCTGCTACAAATGCAGCTCTCATAGGACAGTGCAAGAATCACAATAGCAGTGCACAGCTGCTGGACTACGAACCCAAATACTGGAAATTAACTCGTACCCTTTTCAGGGCTATCTTTTCATTTTTGACTGGAAAGGGGAGGGATGAATCCAGTGTGCTGTGAGGTTCAGTAATTATATGAGACACATCAGAGCTCCAAATGCCTGTTGTGAAACAAACAGCAATCTCATCATGTTTTTAATCACCTTGAACTTTGCTGTAAAGCTGGAGTATTCGGTAGAGTCAAAACAGCAGGTCACAGCGTGGATCAAAAAGACACAAAAACCTCCATTCTCTACTGCACAGATTGGCTGGCTGTCCAAACAGATTCACTCAGCATCTCTGAAATTGTTTTGGCTTTTTCTCACACTTGAAGATATTTATCCATCCTTTTGAAGCCAAAGGTCCATCGTAGCCTTTCCCTCTGAATGCTCCGTATTCTGTTGTACATTTAGCTTTTAGATGTTGTATCTAACTGCCACTGCCTCAAAAAATGATGATATTTCATATATTGCACATGGCTGTTGGACAGTTTTCACTTTAGAGTTAAAATGCTTCCACTCTGCTGAAATTTTTGCAGTCGGGTAGCAATTGCTTTCACCTTTTTGAACCATATGTCGATGTGGGCTGCTGTAGAGCGGCTTCTGTTGTTGTATCTGTCAGGCTGTGCACATGTGCTCATGCAGTTAAAGTTGTGTCTGAATTTCTACGCTGATGTCCTGTTTATTAGATTCTTATGAAGCATGAACTATCAGGTGAACCCAGAATGTGAGGTTACACTCTGAAGTTACTTGCGCACACCTGCTTTACTGTAAACTGTGCTCAGGGGCGGCTCAGGTAAGGGATCTGGGTTGGATGATTGACTTAAATGCTCAAATCTGCTCAGATCTTAATATCAGGACCAGGACATCCTTATATTTCATCTAACGGCTTTACTACTAACAACCTTCATAGTATTTGCTCACTGAAAGACATCTATGGTTTGAAACTTTGTATAATACCCTATATTAAAATGAGTTCATCACATAAGTCTGAGGTTACATTTTTAGATTATTTATTTTTATTTTAACAATAAAACCAGGTGACAGTCCCTACCTGAGATGCTCGAGCCAGTAAATTTAATGTCCTTTAAGAAAATGCGAAAATAAGTTTTCTGGCTCTCATCTTCTCCTTAAAGGTGCTAAAGCCTTTCTGCTCTGCTCCTTCTATTAATTCAATTTTGTCCCTAAAGCAGCTCTGCTCATGAGGAAAATTTGTTGGACTATCCATCCGCTTGAACATTACTCCTGTGGGGACTCTATCTCAGTATGAATTGGGCGAATGGCATGGCACACTCCAGACTAATCTGCAGTCCATCAGGGCAGAACAAGAAGACAGAATAAACCACTCATATTCAACCTACTTCGAGTTTAGCTCCCGGGTGACCTGAGGCCATACATTTGCAGCATGAAAGGACTGATTTGCATACATGTTTGCATTTAAATAACCAAATATAGCTGAAATCATACATGGCTGTGTAAGAGCCTTGCAACACTTGTAGCAACTGGGCACCTACCTGCTAGGAGAACATTTATAGTCCTGCTGGTCAGGGCTCCGAGGGCGCTGGCGCTCACACAGCTGTAGCTCCCTTCCACGCTCTGTGTGGACTGACCATCCCCAGCGGCTGGCAGCAGGACGAGGGATCCATTCCCCAAATACTGCAGAGAGTCACCCCCCTCCAGAGGCAGAGGCTGACCATCCTGAAGCCAGGTGACATTGAAAGGTGTGTCGCTGGCCCCAAGGTTGCAGTCTAGCAGGAGGGGTGAACCTGGCTCCAATACTACATGGCTGGGCCCGGCCCCGCAGCTCAGCTCCACTGAATAAGGCGTTTCTGTGGGGGAAAAAAAGTTATATTTGTAAAACATGCTCCACATCAGCAGAACTTTTAGTTTAGCTATATATTTTCTTTAAAAGCAACTTTATTTTCATTTTAAAAGAGAACTTAAATAACTTAGCACAACACTAGGAGAGCTCAGTGCAGTAACTTCTTTATTGCTCTGTGGACATGATTATAGCTCAACTTTCCATTAAAGGCAGGGCTTTTCTGTTTCATCGATCCGATTTTTCAACACATCTGCATCATTCGTCACTTCTGACATTTTTTTGTCCGTGTTTCAACTTCAGAATTTGGCGATTTGTCATTTGATGGCATAACTTCAATAGAATCAATAGTGTTGGCAGCGCAGACGGATAGGGGTGGCACATTCCAGAGGCGGGGTGTTTTGGGGACAGAAGAGGCCAGAGAAGAGGAGCAGGAGTAGGAGGGGGAGGAGGAGGAGGAGGCGATAGAGCTCTGAAAGTGAAATGAGTGCAGTAGCATGAGGAAAACAACACTGAATACATTTCTTATTTTGGATTATTTAATGACTGCGATTTGGGGTTCATCTCAGCTGTGATTGGCTGAGAGATGGAGGCAGATTTTATTCAACTCACTTCTTTAAAAAAGAGTCTAAACCTGCAGCACGAATGTGCAAATGACTCATTGCACTGTTTTCACTCCCTACATTTTTAACATTATCATTCTTACTCTATTCAGTTCTACATCAGTATGTTTACAACGGTACAGTACGTGCTGCAAATCACAGACTTATTTCATTTCTGATATGAAAGACGAAAACAACAAAACAATGCAGAGGATCTTGGTGATGGAAACGAAGAGAGAGAGACTGAGAGGTGGGAGACAAAAAGAACAGAAGACAACAAATCTCGACTGACGTGATGGCAGTTAATTATCTCCTATGAAGAGGCTGGAAAGCAGCACACACACACACACACACACACACAAACACCCAAACACGCACGTACACACACACACACACTGGAAAAAAAAGAGGAAGGTCATTAGTAGCTTTTCTTCAAGCTGACTATACATACTACCTTGTGCATTGTCCAGGAGTTAATGATTTATTAGGTACCTATTTCCTGATACATTATGCATAAAAATCAGTTCTTAGTCACAGTGAAACTTGAGAATATAATCTTTGAATAAGTGGAAAGAAACATTGCACAATTTTTCTCTTAGAGATCCAGTCCAAGGTACAACCCTGTGATTCCACACCAAGCTTTTGTTGCACCTGAATGAGGGTTTTATTCCATCTAATGGTCCATTTGACTTAACACCACTGGTTCTGTTTCCAAAGTGTAGCTCTGTGAATCACAGGTCCAAGCAGCTGGAGTTCATGTACAATCATGTAGGAGCTTTATTATGCAGCTTTTTATCAACATTTATCTAAAAACTGAAACTTTCCAGCATTTACAGTGAACTAGCTTTGCTAAAATTAGAGTTTTGTCACAGTTGCCAATCAGATCATGTTGTGGGCGGGGCTCTAAATGAAAAAGACTCATGCAACAGACCCAGACAGTGAGATAAACACGCACTACAGCCAAAGTAGAGCACTTTTTGACAAGTCAAGAAATTTTCATCTAAAATCAGTTAAAAAAAACCAAGAATACAAACAAGAGAAATCAACACTAATAATTGGCCACCTCTTTTGAGTATTCTATGTAATAGAAAGATTCCTCTGGTGTATTTGATGCTTTCTGTGTGATTTTGTCGTGCCTTGACTTCAGGCAACATCTACATTTAAAAGTCTGGTTGTGACAGACATGGATCTAATATTTTACACTGTATTTTTCACACAAGCCGGCGTGGATCAGCTCCGGAGGGCGCAGCGGTTACAGAACATACTACACATGCTAACTGTGGAATCAAGCAGAAAGTATTTCAGCCCTAAATTCTAATAAGAAATAAGGAGCTACGGTGATAAGATTCAATTAGGTACAGAAAAAAGAAATGCATCACAGTATGTACACTTCTTCTGTATAGCAAATAATGAAATATGTGAAACTGATTTTTCATGCATTGTATGTCTTGAGGTTTTCCATTTTTGTACATTTTAAGTAGGAGGCCAAAGAGGAGAACACCTGATTTAAATTCACGTTGAAAACACAAACAATGTGCCTTCAATGTCTTCATGCAACATACATCTCCACTACATCCCAGATCCCAGTCTTGTGCTTGTTCCCTTTACAAATGCACTGTCTGTTTTACACACTCAGTGGGGTGATTTTCAGACTCAGTTCACATTTGTTCTGCTCAGCGTCCACAGTCTGCATGTAAAGTGCTTAACTGTGGACTAGCTAATTGAAACAAGCAGGAATTACTTACTTTAATTCCAACACATTTTCATATGATCCTAATAATGGTACAAATGTATTCAAATTTTTTTAATCCTGTTGATTCAGCCCAAAACTGTAACTAAAGAAATGTTACCAGCCAAGAAAACTGTGAGGCTGAGAGGACGCGGTGTCTCCCATGGGCCCTGTATCTGCTGATTGTTCAGTCTGTTGGTACCCAGTCTCTCTTCATTCACTCTATGGCCCACCGCTCAGAAAAACACAAGGATTTGTAGAGATAAATAAAAGTATAATTAATACAATCAGACCCTGGCTTTGTGGCTTTAACTTCTTTAAAATGCAGGGAGTCGAGCAGCCGCTGATCACAGCTCAGCTTAGAAAAGAACTAGAAATGTCTCCTTGTCTTTTTGGTGCAGATTTTATTGAAAAGCTAAGATTTGTTCAACATATTACCTGTCCAATACACAGAAATCTTTTTGATGAATACATTTTCACAATTAAAAGGTTTAACTCTGTTGGACAGATTTCTTGGCATTACAACTCAAATCCTTTTCACACACAAAAAAAGTCTTTTAAGAAGTCATTACTGTAACTGTTCAAGTAACATCATTAAAACTCCCTTTCTTTGCTTAATTTGACAAGCCTCTTTGTGAATTCAGCTCTGAAAGACTATTTTCTAGCATATGCACTGAGACACACTCATACACATACACTCCCACACACGGGCACATTTCTTTCTGCTTCTCTTTCTCCGCCGTTGGATTAATTAAGTTAATGGGAGATGGAATTTTTTCCTTGATTAAATGAGGCCTGACCCCCCACCACCACTTTCTGATGAAGAGGCAGGCTAATGCTGAGAAAGGCTGCACAGTGCTCTGCCACAAACACACACACACACACACACCTGCTATGGGAACAATATACACATGGATGCACCATTATGCACCATTACAGCGGTTATACAGAGACTTGTACTTACAAACTTAAAAATAAAGACAACAAAATATGCGCAACATCTTGTAAGAACAGGAACACTTACCCGCCAACACACACTGACACAGATCACCTCAACAGCTCCTCTCTTCCTCTCTCCCATTTCACCTAATTAGGTCTCATTAAGTCATTAAAACGTTAGCAGCCATTTCCCAGCTCACTGCCAATGGTTTCACTTGGCAAAACAAGAGGATCATTCTGAGTGGGGTATGGAAGCCATTACACTCAAACAAACTGGAGTGGAAGTGTGATGGGGAGTGTGCAAAACAGCCGTGAAACTCTGGTCTGTGATAGGTGAGCGCCGGACACCATGACCTGATCAGAAATCAATATATAACAATGTAGAATGAAACATATAACTATAGATAAAAAGCCTCCAGCAGAGTACGAAGGCAACACAGGGAAAAAACTGATTTTTAGACTTTGAGAAAAGTGTTGTAATGTTATAAGAATAAAGTCATCATCAAGTCATAATATTTTCAGAGTTAAGTTACCATGTAAGGAGATTTGAAGTATCTTGATATCAGACAAAAGTCTCGCTTAAGTCATATTCTTACAAGAATAAAGTTATGTTACTGAAATAAAGTCATTGTGTAAAGAATATAAAGTCATGATAAGTCATAGTTTCGGTTTACAGTGAGCAGCCAAAACATTACAACTTTACTCTCAAAACACAACAACCCTGTTGGTAAATTTCTGATATTATTGTGTGGCTAATTGTTGATGACATTTAAAACTTTATTCTCACAGATGACTTAATTTTCAAAACTAAATCCTCCAAATATAATGACTTTAATCTCAAAATACCACAACTTTACCCTCTTAATATTATGATAAATCACTGTTCTCGAAACATGGTGACGTTATTCAAAAATAAAAAAGAATCATTATGCTCGTAACAAAATAACTTTATTCTCCAAATGTCACAACTTTGCCCTCCTAGTTTAAAGACTACAGCGCACTAACTGTACGTAACCACTCGCTAATGCTGCACAGACTTACTACAACACCAACGGACACTCACACACCCACACAGTTACTGTCAGTGTCTCATGAGAACACAATGCGGTGAAGAGGGGGAGATCCGTGAAGTGGCCATTTTGCTATTTTACTGTTGAAATGGGAGCTGCGGGAAAGGACAGGGTGCACTCTAGTATATAGTAGCGGCTGTGCGATCTCACTGAGCTGTGGTGAATGGATTGTGATGGCACCGTGCCAAGTGGCTCATAGCTGACTCGAAGCAGAGAGAGGACAGAGGTTTACAAAAGAGAGAGAGAGAGAGAGAGAGAGAGAAAGAGAGAGAATGACAAAAACTCCAGCAGACAACAGGAGAAAACACATACAAAGAAAAACAGAGGTATAACACCTTTAGTGCAGTCCCCACTCAGCTAATTATAAACACTTTTGATAACTTATCCTGATTTGTTATTGTGCCTATGCTGATCATTTACACTGAGCATAAGCACTGGGGTTGTATGATCCTCTATAATGAAACCCCAAATCAGCTGATTTCTCTGAATTATGCCCATAAATAGACGGAAATGAGTTAGACATAGGACGAATTATGAGTTTTTTTCATGATAATGTACTCTTTGGAAGCGAGGAAAGAGAAGCAAACCAACTCAGACAAAGACACAGACTGTCCCTGACCTTCACTCAGACAGAAAAAGAGAGAAAAGCCAGGGGAAATGGAGATACCATCAATGCTAGTCCATTTCTGTTAATGGATCACCTATTCACAAAACGTTGGGGAGAAAAAGAGAAAGAGGAGGAGCAGGAGGAGGAAGAGAGTGACCCAACACAGCCAATATTTCAGTGCGCTGTCAACAGAGACTGGACACCTCATGACCTGGAGGCCACGGCTCAGGTTTCTACAGCCTCTGAAGTGGAGCTATACAATATCCCAGGCCTTTCAGGGACAACAGATAAGCTGAGAGGCTCGGCTTAAAAAAGTCTGAAAAAAAAGAGAGGCTTCTTGAGAAGAAGTGAATCTTCTATTTATCTGATGCTGAAACCAGAGTCAAACATATGCTGCTGTTGGCTGATTTGTAAAGAAACGTTTGCTACGTTGCAGCTGCTTCAATCTCAAAATCAATCTAATTTGAAAAAGAGTTTCATTTACTCGGTGCAGGCATGCTCATACATCACTTTCTCCCCAGATTCATGTGTCTGTTCTGTGTTGTTGTTTTTTTTTACCATTACTTGCTTTTCCTGAAATACATCACGTTGGCTTTTGTCTACATTATATTTCAAAGGAACAAAAACAAATGCAAAGTAACAGTGAGAATTTTTTGTTGATCTCAGGGACCCTTTTGAATCAAGTGGTAAAGTAATTTAGAAGTTGTTAGAGATGGATGGTGACATGAAAGTAAGCGTACATGTTCTTCGATGTGTTCTTCGGGTTTGGCACTTTTTGACAAAATGGAAATAAAGTCGTTAGTATTCTGTGTTTAGATAATCTAGCATATAACTACTCGAGCAGAGCAATGTGCAACCAGCACAGGCGTGTAGATGTTACTCTGTAGTGAGGACTGAAGGCTGGTGGTGATAAATCTGCCAGAATTAATCCAATCCAGTTTGAGATCATGTACCTGAAGACTCAGTTATTCTGAGTTTGATGTCATGTTTAACAAAATGCGCTCAAATCCTAAATGTTTTCTTATCTTTGGACTAATCTTAAGTCAATTTCAGTTTAAATGACAAGGAAGTTAGTTGCTTGAGAACATCCTTATGTTTTTTGTGCCATGACACCTGCAGTGACAAATATCCTTCTATGTGAGGACAAAGTACCTAAATTTCCACACAAAACTGATGGTTAGATTATTTGGTTATTAATTTTTGCAGATATCTTGTCTAATACAGAGAACTGGATATACTCAATTACAAGAAATCTGTTTGTGGCACTGGATTAAAAGATCAACAAACTGATTACAACCATCCTGGGGTTAGAAGACCATTTGTTCTCAGAGCCTTTTACTCAAACCAAACACATCTACTATACCGTTACACAAGAGTGGAATCTCAAAATCAGCAGGCTTACTCTCTTCTTTCAATCGTCAAGGAGTTTAGCAATTTACTCTGTACTTTTAGACATATTTCATATCAGCAGAGCGGATACATCAACAGGCTGCCGAGGACACTCATAGAACCGATCTGTTAGCATGGCGAACAACAGGCACAAGTACTTAAACCTTATATAAATGAGAAAGCTAAGAGGGGTCGCCGAGTTTAGAAGGTGGAGAACATAAGGTAGGAAATGGAAAGAGAGAAAATGAGACAAAGAAAGAGAGCCAGAATTACCGAATAAAACGGAGGACCGAACAGAGCAGATAAGATTAGAGCAGCCTTGAGACTCGACTAAAAGAGAGCAGCGAAATGTGATTACAGGTGCTTTTGTGAAGAGGGACCACTAAAGCACTCAAAAAGCAGTGATAACCAGATTGCCTTGTACCTCCCGCTAAATTGACACAGCAGTGGAAGATAATTGCTACAATCCTGAATGATGGTAGCAATGTATTATATTGCACATGTAGGTTATACTTGTGTCAGAAAAACAGGGTTGTAAGACATCAGTATGCATGGAACTCTAAATACAGGCAGGGACAGATGGTCTGATTGATAGCGCTGGACGGTTTACAGTATGAAAACTCCAGTGTGTGTGTGTGTGTGTGTGTGTGTGAGTGTGGGAGGTCAGGATACCACAAACTGAAGCTCAAATCATGATGCTCATCTTTAGCTGCAGTGTGGCTTTTGTTTAATAATTCAATTACATGCATCAATAGCAACAGGGTATAAAATAGCTTAAGCACTTACACATGCCTGTGGCCAAAAACTACCAAGCGAGCGAATGAATCGATATTTGAAGCCACGGTTGTGATAACCAGCGCAAAGAGGCAGAAGCAGCAGACCCTGGAGAGACGGAGGCTCTCAGGTTTCTCTCTGTCTACAGGTGGAATTGTCTGTTTAATCACAAGAGAGTTTCACTAACAGACATGACTGTCTAAATATTTGGGTCATTCTCTGGTAGACTTCACTTCTGGATCTCTGTGTGATAAGTTAAGCATATTTGGAGATAATTTTATGTGCAGTTCATAGACAGTGTATCATTCAGGTCTTATCTGTTGTAGCAGAAGTTTCTCTCCCGCTGTTCCTTTTTTTGTCTACATAACGTATGACACAACAGCATGCACTGTGGACCCACACAGGAAACAAAAGACAGTTTTTACAATAGTGAGTTTATGTACCTTAATGTGGAGGGTTTTTTTTTTTTTTTTGAGCTTTTGTCAAATTTAGAGCATGTGTCGTAGTTTTTTTCTGATCTTATAGTTACATTTTTTTAAATACATTTATATATTCCCTTTAGTGTACAGTGTTTCAAAGATATTTTTGTTTGAAAGGTTTTTGACTCCTGTTTAAAGCTCATGTTGGGATTTTCAGGTTGATGTGAAACAGACTGAGGCAAAAATTGATGCCTCTGTATCTACTGGAAGAGCAGATGAGATCAAAAGCATAAAGACTGAACACTTTTATAGTTATTTTTAATGTGTGAAACCTGGCCGTGGGGTGGGTGTCAGGTATAATGGTTAACAGCGTGCTGTAGAAACCGTCTTCGTTTACCTTTTCCACAGCAAAGATTATACATATGTAGTACATGTGACGGTTAATACAACAGGATAAGATGCTTTGTTAAAAAAGTGATTTGAACACATGCGCAAAACAAAACCGGCAGAGACAAACACATGACTCTTCATCCATATGATGGACTAAATGTAGCACAAGAGGTGTGACACAAAAATGTGTGAAAAGCGGACAGTAGGTGTCTTGTAAAGTAATGGTAAAGGATGTCTTTTAAAGTTCTCTAAGTTTAATTTTCTATTTCTTTAGCAGACAAAGCAACCCTGCAGCTGAAAAAATATGATGTTTTTACAGTCATTTACTTTATGGTGATATCACTGCGCTCGATGTGTTCTTTCTGTAAATGTGTAAAACAGCCCCAGGAGTCAAAAACACGTAACATTTTCAATCTTTCTTATGGATTTTTAATTTGGTGAAAATATAAAACTCTGTTTACTAGCAAAGCAACACTGGCAGAGGACTCAAGATTTCTGTGTATACAGAGCGAGGCTGTGAGTCACTCAACAATGTGAACAGCTGCTGTGTCAGGTGTTAACCGATCCAGCTGTGTTTCCTCCCATGACCGTACAGAAGGGTTCATCTCACAGCCCGTCATCATAACCACAGACACACACTCACTCTCGCTCACTGTCAGGAAGATGATACAATGAATCAAAGATTCACTCTGCATCAGTTAAGTTTGCAGTAATGCCTGTTTTTTTTCCCTCTTGAAGTGCTTCATTAATGTGATCTGTAAAAGTGTCTGCTCTGGACCTAGGTATCTGAGTGGAGTAGCATATTGATTCAAATGATGAAAAGAAGTTGTTTTCTAAATTTTCAGCTTCGTCTAAAGATGAGGATTACCTGTTGAGGTTGCCTAAAGCTTACATAGGTATTTCCTACAGTATTGATCTTTGACTAATTTTTTTTACAAGACCAAAAAAACTATTTGACAAGCAGGAACTAGGGCTGCACGACTAATCCATTTAAAATCGTAGTCGGATTATTTGATTATGACAATGTCTTCTACTTCCTGCAAGAGTGATCTCCAGTTCCCACACACCAGTGTAAACAAACATGGCATTTGCAAGAAAAGGCGGTAACTTCGTGGCTAAAAGGGACAAGAGCAAGTCAGTAGTGTGGAATTGGTACAGCTTCACAGTTTCAGATGAAGAGCAAACCACTTCCTGCTGCATAGTCTGTCTGAAGGCACTATCAACCCGTCCACACCGAAACGAATTCAGGAGTAAACGCAAAAGTTTTTTTTGTATCGGCATTTCATCTACACCGAAACGGTGCTTTGGGTGACTGTAAACATACTTTTTGAAAAGGGGTACAAGAGTGCATAAATTCATAAATGACTACCATTTCATCTTCGTGTGGATGCCTATCTGCATCTCTCTTGAAACGATTATGTCATTAATAGCATAACTCTTTCATGGCAGCTGTGCATGTCCAGGCAAAACAACATTTATACCCGTGCCCCGTACTCTTCTTCTGTCTTTTGTGCATTTCCTGGGCAGCGTTACAGCACCACTTACTGGCTTGGCATATGCACTACATCATGTTCAGTGGTTTCGTTTTGAGAGATGATAGAAAAACTTTTATTTTTCAAGTGAAGTTTGGTGAAATTGTCACTGAATAAAAAATCTTAATCAAAATCGAATATAGAGTTTTCAGAGAAAAAATCTGGATTTTATTTTTGGCCAAAACCATGCAGCCCTAACAGGAACAACTGGATCTAAGCATAAAAACACACATTTTTTTTTTTGTGACATCAAGCTAGCCTCTCATTACTTTTTATCAGTCAAGCAACTGATTGACCAGCCGTGGTACTTTTTGTACCTACAAAAAGTACAAAAGGTTTCTGTAGTTGTGTGTGCTAAGATTCTACAAACTTGAGTTTCACAAAAAAAATAATAATAATAAATAAATAAATAAATAAATACGAACATCATGAACTGGCAGTCTTCTCAGATCCTAAATAGCATTACTGTGCACAGTGAAATAGGGAGAGAGGGGTTGCAGTGAGACAAATATGGCGCCTGGTTCCCACTAGATGTATGTATGTGTGTGTGTGTGTGTGTGTGTGTGTGTGTGTGTGTGTGTGTGTGTGTGTGTGTGTGTGTGTGCCAGAGAGAGGAAAGGGAGGGGAGAGGAGAGGGAGGGATAGAGAATAAGAGAAAGAGAGGGAGAGAGAGGGGGGCATACCGGTTTAGTCCCTCATGCCTCCTGCTCTATGTACAGTGCTCATTCATCCCAGTCCGGCCTCCTCCAATCACAGAGCAGCAGTCCTGCATGCAGAGCCTCCAAGCAGCATGGGGCCTCCACATGGCTATGTCAAGTACTAGGCCCTCTTGCATGAGTCAACAAGGCAAGCATTAAAACTAACATGGGAATAACAATGGGAGATCCAACTCAGAGTCTGTTGATTCACAAAGTCGTACACTGTGAATTTACCATGTATCAAGAAAAAGAAAAGGCAAAATCTGAAGGCAAGAACAGTTTCAAAACACCCCGTCTGCTGTTTGAAGTGAGGCATATGTACATTATAATGACAGTGTGCAAAGATCAGGGTTGAACACCGCACACAAGGTCGGTATGATGAATGAGACTGCTATGTGACACTAACTGTACATGCACAGAGAAAGGACACAGCGCACGGAGCAGGCCTCGCAACAGGGTTCTCAACAATTACATATTCCATCAACGGTGCGTGGGAGACATTGTGTGATCTTTGAGTAATACACTGTATTTGAACAGGAAAACATTGTGTGTGTTCTCAGCATGAATGCACAAATGGTTGCTTAAAAGGGATATGAATATGAGCGTGTGTTATTCATGTTGGATAAGTACTGCTGAAATGAGATAGCTACTGTCGTCCATGTGGACTTTCTGAATTGTTTTACTCTGATTCATTCACTCAGAAGTAGGACTGGGCGATAATATGATCGTGATAAATTTCAGTTCGATCACGGTGATCAGCTGTGAGCATATTTACTCGATCAAACATGGTGGAAATGTGCGTCACAACAGCCAATCAGAGTCAAGCTTTTCCTGCTCACTTCTGTAAGTTGCCGGTAAAGTAAACAGGAGAAGTAAACAGAATGACCAAACATGGCGCCAAACGTGGAGCTGAGGGCAGCAAAATAGATGTCAGCCGTGACTTTTAGTCATCCTTAAAAGATGCTATTGTGCAGAAGAAAAGTTACTCAACATTGGTTGTGTGGCCGTGCCGTCGTTTGGGTAGCTCCAAAGTAGCGTAGAGAAGTTACGCCGATGTGTAAGGTATGTCGCCTGTCTGTGCTCTAAAATACCAGCAACATAAAAGATCTGTTTAATCATTTAAAGAAGTTGTTCCCAAGGGATTATGTTGAAAACATGAAATGCGAGCGGAGTCTGCACAGCCGGCCACTGCTGACGGCTCTAGTAGCATTAGCACTTTAGCCACAACTAGCGGTGCAGCCACCAGACCAAAGCAGCCATCAATCATATTATCCATGTTTACATCATCTAATGTTTACATTTAAGGCATCATTATTATCCCTGAGGGAGGGATTTGTTTATTTTGGGTCTTGCATACCTGCAAAACACTCAGGACTAGTGCTGGGCGATAGGACGATAGATATCGTGGGCACGATAGAAAATGTCTATCGTGCCATTTTTATTTTGATCGTTTTGGGCGATAGTCTGTATTTTATCCATAGGGCTTGTGCCATCAGATGATTCATAGTAACAACAACAATAATTGCACATTCAGTAAGTGTATTTGGTGTCGAACGGGAAAGAAAACAATATTTTCTTACAAAGAAAAGGATGCGTTGACATGTAGGCTCGCATTTCTCTTTCGATTTTGCGACATGACGCCGCTTTACGTGCCCTCTTCGTGTCCAGCGTCTCCCGCCGTTGCGGGTTACCTGGGTTACACACGTGAGGGGATCATTGTAAGCAGTGCTTAATTTGTGCCAGAGCAAGTCGGAGCGCGATCCGGGACCTCTTTTGATCGGACCCGGGACCTATTTCAGCCGCCCCGGCACCTGTTTCATCTGCTCCGGGACCTTCCCTGTAGAGGATGACATTTTTCGGGAATTCCCGTAGGTCACGTGATTCCCGCGGGAGTCCCACGGGATGGGAGTCATTTTTTAATTAATCCCTTGATCGGGACGGGACGGGAAAAAAAGCAACGGGAGTGGGCAGGAGCGGGAACAACATTAAAAGATGATCATTTCCAGCCGTGTTTAACAACCAGATGAACAGGTGCGTCCATTTTTGTAGTCATCTCTCAGTGAGAGCCAACACTCTTGACCGCGCTAGCAACACAAAAGAACTACAACAGTGGTTTGACTTCCTGTCAGCTGGGAGCGCGGCTGCGCATTTCTACCCTTCAAGCCAGCAGCGAGGAAACGTGATTTTGTGACATTCTGTAGTTTTTCATTCATTTCTGGAGTCGTGGCGAATCAAATCACCTTACCTGTCTGCCCCTGATAGGCGAATAAAGCGCTCGGATTCATGCTCGGGTCTTGCTACGTGCTTCAAGAGTAAAGTAAACAATGATGGAGGCAGAGAGCAGCTTTGGAGGAGAAACATCCAGCAGTGTGAACAACCTCTTCAAAAGAGCCCTAAAGACCTACCTTTTCAATAAAGCCTTTGGTTAGTTTTCCTCTATGCTTTTACTACCTTGCCTCTTACATTGCAACTCTATATTTTTTATTTTTTTTAATTCTTTTTTTATGCCAATCTGTGACTGTCATTCTATTGCTTTTTTTATTGTTGCTGCTCTTTTTTTACTGTGTACTGTAGCACTTTGAGATTTGTTGTAAATGTAAAGTGCATTACAAATTAGATTTATTATTATTATTATTATTATTATGGAGTGCTTTGGCTCACACTATCGGCGTTTTCTGTGAGTGTTGCATAACTTTGGGTGAGCACAGACATGAACGCACTTCGGCCACGTATTTATTTATTCATTTTTCTAGTTTTAAGTGCTGGTCTTGTACTGGCACTGTACTAGTGCAGCTGTATACACTTAAATTTTTCATAGAACTGAAAACATACCATAGCTATATCGTGATATATATCGTTATCGTGATATAAAATGATCCATATCGTGATATACATTTTTTTCCATATCGCCCAGCACTACTCAGGACTGTAAACTAGCTCACTGTATTTAGAATTTATCTACATTTGTTTCACTGTTGAATTAAAATGGTTTTTATATTTTTCTAAGTTTATCTTTTTCAGTTCGCTTTGTTATTCACTTTTTATGTGAATAAAATGTTTAATTAATCTATAGTTTCTAAAGTTTTTAGTACAGAAGCTTTAAAACTGGCAGTTTAAAAAATTTTTAAAAATCGTGATAGCAATCGAGATCGGATGATATGACAAAATATATCGTGATCTATTTGGTTTTTTTTTTACCAAATTGCCCAGTCCTACTCAGAAGTAAACCATAACTCGAGCACACCTTGCTAGTTGCAGGACCACCATCAGAGTAACTCTTTTAGAGTCATGTGACCAAGCAGACAAGAAGAAATGGAGGGACTGGAAATGCAAGTGATCATATTTTTATCACAGATCCCCTATCAGACACACAAATCCTATAACGGGGCTTACCTAAAGATTAACAAAGAGGTTTTGTCAGATTTAAAGCCCTGATCTGTGCGATGACTTGATCTACTAGTGACATACTATCTTTTTAGAAATATATAACATACGGAAAAGCCATTATCGTGAAGAGCTGGTTGACTGCCTCTATGTAATGCTCAGTACTCCTCATACATAAAATGCATTTGCAGCTACACTTATCAGCCTTCGGTTTTAACATGAAGTGGCTGATCGTAGCTGCCTCACTGTAAATTGAGTTGAAGTGATGGACAAAACAAGTGCTAGGATTTAAATAATGGTATGAACTTGGACGACAGTGAGTTCTTACACATATCAATCTCACATAATTAACTGTCTAGTGCAGCACTGACCCATCTCTGGGCATCAGTTCAAATCCCATTTTGTAAAGTTTTCAGTAACAGTTTGTGGCTAACACCAGGGTGAAATACAATCTATCTGAGCTGCAACATTTCAAAAGTAAACCTATTAGTTCATCCCTTGATCCACAGATCAACAGTTACCAGCTTTACCTGAAAGCAACTTGACAAAAGTTTATTTCTATGTGCAGCGTGGGTGCACTGTGGTGCGAAAGCTACCAAAAGAGAACGTTATGAAAGGTCGTTTGGGGCATTACCTGTACTCTGAATGCTTTGCTTATTCTATGTATTGACATCAACAGGAAAGTCCTCTTTTTAGTGCAGGTTAAAGCAACAGTAAATAGTTTTCAGCTAGCTTTGAAACTGCAATTATTACAGATGCCTCTGTAAGATCTTCAAAACCAGACAGACTCACAGTGACAAAACTGAACAGCTATTAGGCTGCTGTCAAGGGGTCAGGACATTCACAGCACCGTGTGAAAACCTTTTCCTCAGTTAATTTTGCACTGTGATATTTTACAGTGCAGTTTTCCCTGCAGAATGATTCCAAACCTGCAGCAGTGATGGGGGTTAAGTTGGGTCTATTCATATTTTTGATCTACAAAACCCTATTTCTTTCACCTTGAATCAGCGCTGCAGGTTACTGTATTCGTTAATCGTGCTTTGCTCTCCTGTTCCACCTCTTACTAATTATTTTTGCATTGTGTGTCTAATATTTGACAAAATTAATCAGCTGCACATTTTACAAAGGTAAGATGTTACACTCAATGTTGCACTGTCACAACTAGGGATTCACCGAAATGAAAATTCTTGGCCAAAACCGAAAAAGAGGAAACCAAGGCTGAAAACCAAAAATCTTTTTATTATTATTAAATTATTATGCCAATTATTCATACAGTTGTATTTATGGCTATGGCAGTTCACTAACCTCACTAAAATCAAGGCATTAAAATCTAATAGATTAATATTCAAATAACATCTGTTTATGGTGGTGTGTGATTGGGTAGCTGGGGAGGGGCAGAGAGAACTTATTAATCTGCTGTGTGATCACAGATGACAACTTGCTAATAGTAGGCGTGCACTCTCTGTGGTGCAGGGCTGGTGTGTACCACATATTCTGATATATACTGAGTCTCAGGTAGCACTATGTGTGAAAAAAAGAAACTCATTTTTAAGGTGAGGAGGCTTTTTTTTGGCATGGCAGTGCGCCACGATCAATAACATGCAAGGGAAACCCTGCATTGCACGCTATGCAAATCGCTATCCGTGGTTCTCAGATATATTGAAATACGTCCAAACAGCAGACATGTTGGCCTTCGGCCCCTTGTGTTAACTGGGGTTTTTGCTGTGTCATCACAACATTTGTTTTGGCTGTGTTGTTTTGATGATAGAAGTCTTTTGGACAAAAACAAAAATACCCTTTTGGGCCCAAAATTTTTGGTGGCCGAATTTTCGGTGCATCCCCAATCACAATAGTCACAACAGGTGAGGATGGGACATGGTAATGATATAGTGCTTTATAACAATCCAAACTAAAGCGATGCAGGCTGCAGCACCAACCTATTATACATAATTTCAAAATAACAGCAGGAAATGGTTCTTACGACAGTGCATTAACAAAGGGACATACTGTGGGTCCTGACTCCCACTTTAGGACGAGTAGACAACAATTTCATACAGATGAAAAGGACAAATGTAAAATTGATTGCATTATATACTTCAGGGGCCAAAAATATACCTGGTCTGACTGAACAGCCTGCTTCTGTGCGGAAATACTTCAGCAAGAGATGCAATGATTGACAAAGACGGCAGACTAAGGTTTTCATCAGAAAACCTTTTGAAGCATGTACAAGACAGCACCTTCACCATGTTGGAGTATAACAACACCAAATAGGGAAGAATCATAAATAGGCTTACAACCTGTAAATATGTGCTGGCTCAATATCTTTCGTGAAATCTTCTGTCAGCTGTACATGGAAACAAATTCTATTTTCTTCCACCACAGATTAAACCAAACTATGACACATCACATGCCTCCAAAATTAAACACTTATTAGCTCACACATACCCTTAAGAGACTGAAAAAGAACTATCAAAACAGATTCAACACAATACTTTGAACATCCCGAGAGAGCAAATTATGTGAATTCATAGCAGACAAATCTGTCTGAAGACATCCCCTCTTTTTCATGCAAACACTTCTGAGCTTTTTTGACTTCCTCCCTGGCAGCACACACAGGGCACCAGAAAAAATCAACATATTCAGTGCACAAATATACCCAGCTGAAACCCAGCCCAGGGCATCTTTAAATAATATGCATCCTAATTTAGCATGGACTCTCTGGGGAGGGGATCAAGATGCACTCACAAATCGCAGCTGACACACCCACGCTTACACACAAGCAGACAGGCGGACGAGTAGGCACATGGGGTGATTGTACCTCAGCAAACACACACATACACACACAAACACACACATGCAGATGCTTAATTTACAGCTAATGTGTAATGAGCCATTCTCCACAGGCTCTACTGTCTGACAAGACCTGGTCTACAGTCTCAAGAGATCTGAGTTTGTTTGTTTGCAGAATAACGGAAAGAGTGTGATAAGTTTGGGTCCAACATTAAATCAACACAAATCGAGTCATTAAAGTACTTACCTTAAAATTTACATAAAGACATCATTTATCCATCAGTTCAATTAGAAATGAAACCGCATGAGGTCACTGTCCTTTGTGAACAAACAGATGAGGGTCTTTTAATCTGCTACACAAAATGAAGAATAAAAGGTGACAGCACAATTACTCATCACGATACAACCACAAAAAGGACTTACACAATGTTATTATTCCGCAATCTCAGAGCAGTCACACACTGATACTAAACACAAGAGCACTCACAGCAAAGGCCAGCGTACGGTTTTCTACAGACAGCATACATCCCCTGACAAATTCAGTGTTTAATATTCTGTAGCTGTCCCTATATGGGAGGCTGAGCAGCTGACCCTCAGGTGTAGACACAACAAACCGGAGCTTAACACACGCTCTGAACATTACAAACGACAGCAGAGCTCACGAGGAGATATGGATGATGACTTTTGGTGAACCTAAGGTGGATACTAAGAGTGACTGCAGTTGCCAAGGAGGTTTAGGTTGCCAAAAGAGCTGAATCTTCATTTTTCTAGTTTTTGGGTAGCTTTATTGTATCTCTTTGTCCTTATTCCTTGATATTAAGAGTAATAAACACTTCCTTTATATGCAAACGTCATAAAAAGTCTGTCTCTAAAACCAAACTCCAAAGCCACATTGATTCCAAATGTGCTACTATGATGAAGGATAGCCTCCAAAAATACCAGTGGATCATAGGGGTAAAGATTCCTCCTGCGCCGGTGCAACCAAATCAGATCACTCTACAATAAGTGTCCGCAGGAAGAAATCGTGTCCCAGAAAACAAACACTAATTGTAAGGGGAATTAAAAGCTGCGCTCTGCATTATGTTTGCTTCTTCTGCTCTCAGCACCAATCTAGTAACACCTGCCATTTGTACTATTCATGCAAAGTACTGCACAGTATTTAGTCTACAAGAGACATATAAAAACACATGAAGCTATGCAATAGAGGTGGGATTTTTCCTCTTAATACCTGGAGGACAAAAATCAGGGTAATAGATAAGAGTTTTTAGCATTGATACAAAATGTTGAAGGGAACACGGCCCTTGCTGCTTTATTTTTTGCAAACTACTCATTGTTAATGTGTGGCGTGGAAAAGTTTGCGATACTGTGTAAAATTAGAGGATGTGGAGGAGAAGGTAACAATTTTAAGTGAGACACTAATAATCTAAGACTCACAGTGTGGCTCTAGTTCTGGAATTACATGTAACTATACGTACTCCTCAGACATTTGAACTTCACTCAAATTACTGCTCCCATGAACTGCATGTTTCAGGTTCTGGCAGAGTATGATACTTGTATTGGTTATATATTCGTTTTTGTTTACATTTACAGTATATGTTACATGTCTTGTTGTTGCTGTTTGCTGTGTATGACTTGCTTTTATTGCTACTGCTTCGTTATTGTAAAGCACTTTGGTAGGCCATTGGCTGTTTAAATGTGCTATACAAATAAACTTGACATTGATATTGACACTGACATTTTGAAGGCAGCTTTTTTTCTTTGCAATATGGAGTAAAATACGTCTGAACTCTAGACATTTTATAATGTGACAGTGTTGCATCAAATGCCACCTTATTGCCATGCTGTTTTCCCTGTTATTACCCCGGAGCTGGTTAGCATACACTACACTCAAACCGAGACACTACAGATATAAGATGTCTCATTCCTCAGTGACTTGATTTCTGTGTCAGTGTGTCTCTTGCATCACTCTCAGATATCAGATAGCAGTATTGGTTAGGATGTATGATGATGTCCAATTACAGCATGAAAGCGTCAAATTACGTCACCATGAATCTCTGACTTTTTAACTCATTGAAAATTATTTTTGTCATTAAAATTTGACAACTAGGTTGGCGGGTCACTGCACCCCTGGTCAAGTCACACTGGTCAAACCTTTATTGTAGCAGCAGACACTGTTTTTGTTTGTCATGTAGGTTAATTCCACCACGCCCCAAGAATCAGAGTTGAATGCAGAAATGAAGAAATGATGCAGTAATTTGTTAAACCTCCTGCAGAAGACTCTGCTGGGGTGGTGGGGGGAGAAATCCTGCTGCTACTGTAAAATTGGGTGAATATGTTCATCAGCTTGTCTTGTGAATGATGCATTGCAAATGTGAAATTAATGCAGCTCTAGTTGCCGGACTGAACTGGCTTGCAGGCATGATTACATACTGCACTTTAGTCTTGTAGTAAGCAACCTTGAGTCTCAGTCTGAGTCACCAAAGAAGAACACTAGTTGGGTCCCCATTATCAGAGTCCAAGTTGAGTGTCCATGAAGCCAGGCATCTTTGCACAGTGTTGTAGAGCAAGTGTAACGAGTAAAAACAGTAGCATGTTAGCATGCTGAAACAAAAAAAAAGTTTTAGAAAAACATTAAAGCTGTTGCTCAATAAATAAGTTTAAGTCCACTCTCCCGAGTCAATGCTCGAGTTCAAATCATGACAAGGCTCTGGTGTTTTTACACTTCTAGGTTTTGGGGCCACAAATGAAAGAAAATAGAAACGCACTGGGAGTTGTCGGAAAAACTTTTAATTTTTTGACAACTTTTTATGGTATTACCCAAACTTTGTAACTCACTTCTCTTCCTCACTCCAGTATCTTTCTCTGACGTTGTGCAGAACTGAAAATTCAACCTCTTGTGTAACTATACATTTCCATGACATTTAAACGAGAGACTGGACTTTGCCCAAGAGGACCCTGGTGCAGTTGGTAGAATAAATGGTTGACTTAAAAAAAACAACCTCCCACTATCATACATAACATTGCACAGGGTCACTTCAGCAACAGAAATCCCACAGGCAAATTTTCCTCTGGTGTTCATGGAAATATCAACTAAGTATGAGGCGAGCTGCTGATATGACCCTGACTGACCTGAGAGTATAAGAGGAATAACTCTGCTTCTTTCTTTTGCGCTGCGCAGTAACTCTGAGACTAAACTTTGAGCTGTAGAGTAATCCATCAATATCAGAATGAATCTTTCCATCGTGGTCCTTCATTGAGCTTAAACAGCCTAGAGAAAGGTAGTGAAGTGATTTCAGAGAAATGTCCAACTGAGACTTAAAAAGTATGGTGAGGCTAATCTGCTGTATTAAAAGCATTTTTAGTTCAGATTTTGTTGCACAAATTGTGTTTTTTAACATGTTTTTCATCTGAAAATTAAGTCCCTGAAGCAAAATATGATCAACATATGTTCAAGAAGTCAAAGTTTTTGTCTGAGTGAAGTTCTGACTCTATTTGCTGGAGGATTCTGAGCGAGACCACTTGCTCAAAGAAGTAATTCAACCTTTCAGCAACAAAAGTTACAGTCCAACTGAAATTTGATCCTGATACATTCATCTCATTTTTAATCCCAGACCTGCCAGACTCAACGGCAGTATTATTTAGAGCTTAAAGTGGCGAACCAACACTCCCAGTCTGTACTTGGTGGTATATGTATCATGTGGCCAGTACAGTAAAGCCTCAGTATTATGGTCTAAATTCCTACTGTTAAGGACAGATATCAGAAGATATCAGATATCACCATGTTCCTCTCCAATAAACTAAAAGCTGTCTTAATTACATACAGTACCTTTGGTTACTTTCGGTCGCAGTACTCTGGTGAAAACAGATATAAGGGTATCAAGAAACACTCACATAACACCCGCAAAAAACCCTATCCTCGATAACTAATCAGTCTGTGATCAACCTTGAGTATATTAAAAAACAGAAACTTTGCAACGGATTTCAGAGACAGTGTGTAAGTCTTGCTAACAGACTTCTTTCTTCTATATAGGTGTTGATTTTACTATAAGTGAGTTTATACGACTAGAAGAATGAAAAACAAGGCCCCTCTTCACCGGTTAAGTGGAACATCAGAGTGAGTTTGTATGACTAAAAAAGGAGGTTTTAATCAAGTCTCAATATATAGTGAATCTCAGTCATGTTATTATGCTACAATGTGGCTGTACATTATATGCATTCAGGTTATCTTTATCAGTTTGACACGAAACAAAGTCAGACTTTGAATCTCCTTGAGGGAACCCTCCAACAGGATAAATAAAGTTGTATTTAATCTTGTATCTAACCTAGATTTATTCCTCATATGACAGCATTAGCCTCTCTTCTGTAGCTACTGGTAGTTTTTGTTTTAATCCATCTGTACAGAAATGCACCTCCTTGCATTGGATTATCGAGGTATCTTTCATTTGTATACAGATCTACAGACACTGTGCACAAACACAAATTAGGGGAGTGAAGCCCCGGTTTTGAAAAGCTCAAGCATTATTGGTTTTATGACTTGTGAAATGCCGAGCAGGTCCTTCATAATAAATCTTAAACCACCATCCCTTTTTTTACAGTCTTAACCAACGTGACCTGTTAGGAGTATTAACTTGAACTATTTTCATATCAAACATGTCAAATATGATATACTGAGCTGGACCTGTACAATCTTCTGATCTATTCTCAGGCAGCGAAGCGCCAAAGCTCCCTCATGAAGCTGTTGCTGTGTTTACAGTTTTCATATGCATATTAAAAGGCCAGAGGCTGCACAATAATCACATTCATTTGCTCATAAAGTCTTTCAGGAGAGCAAATGTTTGTTTCCATTATGTCCTTTAATAACTGTGCAGACTGTGAACACTCAGACACTCAGGCACTTTGGTTGCATCCATTTGCTTGTGATGTGTGAAGTGGCGCTGACATATTTTCATTTGATCTTCAGAATGGACAAAACAAGCTCTTTGTTTGTGGATGTAGCCGTGGCCCTTGCCCTCAAATTCGCCCCGACCAGCACCCGCCAATTCATCCCTGTCCCAGAATCACCCCCAGCCCCCACCCACCAGCCTCAGTTCCCACAACTAGGAAAACACCCACGACATTCACGCTCCACTTTCTAAACCCAACAAAACGCACACACAGAGGAGACACACACACACACACACACACACACTGAGTCACCCTCACTCTCCGTGTTATTAACATCCCTGAGGTTATGTCGTAATAACAAGATATATATACTAATCTGTTCATCTGATCATAAAGCATAACAGTTCTGTCAGGGTTTTAAGAGCCGGTGGATACAAATGTGGCCTCTGCTCTGAACACTTTATCTCTTCTATATAAATAGATTTTGTCTTTGATTTAGTGAATGTTCTCTCAGTCATTTCATCAATGTGATATTTTATCAATTCAAAAGCTTTTTCGACAGCGGCCAAATGTGAAAACTGTTTGTGACCAACTTCCGATGATAAATCTCATACTGGAAAGAAATCAATTTCCTCCTCACTCTTATCGCAGACAACCCCTATCACAATGGCCATTTACCTGTGAGAGATTTCATCATGTGGCTGCGATCGCCCCCAGTGTGGCACTCTCTCCTGTCGGGAGGATCTCAAGGGGAGTAATTCCTTATTCTGTCTCTGCTGGAGTCCGCAGGGCACGGTAATCTAACTCTATATAAATTATATCCTCTGACCTTCTCCCACTATATCAGATTGAACTTGAGAAGGCATACCTCTAGTGCCTCCTCACTCAGGCCTTTCTATGCATAATTGAACAGTGAATAATGGAAGTTATATGATAAAATTATAGTATACCTCAAAGGAAAGGTTGTGGTCTACCTGGATGAGCAGAAGTACTTTAGAGTTTGATATATTCATTCCCCCATGCTCAGCCCTTCTCCACTCGCCAATCCTTTTGGACTGTATTGCTGCATTTCTCAGCACGTATAGGTGGCAATCACTGCAGAGTGTGTCATACCGGAGCTTGAGTGGCAACTATGTGCAGAAAATCTCCAGATAGGAGAGAAGGATAAAGTACTTATGGGTGAGACAAATGGCAACAGTCTGTCTTGTAAGAAAATGTGCGCTCAAGTCTGTACAACAGGCAGAGCCAACACAAAAGGGATAGCAAGACAGTGCAAAGTTCAGCTGACTTCTCGAAGAGAATCACTTTGAAACTGGACAAAGAATAGATGGGAGGTATTTTAGAGATTTCTGACGCATTTTACCTCAATAAAACCGGACAGATGAAGAGCGGCTCCAAACATAATGGCATGTAGTGGAGTGATGACAAGCACCAAGGGTGTTTGCACGAGGGGGGCGCACACCCCAACCAATCAACATGTGTTAAACATGTTGTTTAAAAGATTGAGTTTCTTTTAAGTATGAGCTGTAGTGAGCCAAACATAGACAAAATAAGAAAGGAGGTTAGAAAAAGACAAAGCTATCTTATAACAACAAAAGAAACAGAGCCAAAAGTTGTCTGTGTTTTCATTATTTGACAAACCACCCGTCAACTAGAGCTTGGCCGATTATCAAATATTTTTTCAATTACAATCACAGCCCCAACAATCTTAAATATATGATAATCAGGACTGGACAGTTATTGTGTCGTCCCTGGAGCTGCCCTCTTTATGTCCTATACATTGAATGAAGTGCACCCTTTCCTCCTTAACAGCAGAGCGTGGGCGCGGCCCCTCCCCTCAAACAGCTCTCACTTTCACTTCATGATAGGCAGCTTGGACAAATGTGAAACAAAGTCTGAGAACATGAGGAAGCTGTAGCTCCTGGTGGTCTGCTGTACCTTCAACAGGTTGTACAACAGTGGTATAAAGTATGGAGAGAGAAGAGCAGGGAGATGACTGCCAGAATAAAAAGTGAGAGACCTTATTCTGAATCATAATAAAAAACAAGCCAGAGTCTTGATGTTATGAAGGACGCTGTATAAAACCTTCAGAAGTTTGAATGTTTTGTTAGATCTGCAACCTTTAGTAAAATGTCTTTAAATATTTTCAGATTTTTATGACAGGGTCAGAATATTTTATTATTACACCTGAAATCTGGGGTTTAATTTGGTGATGATGTGATGTGATGCATGTCCTTTCTGGTATTTGAACAAAGGACTGTTTAAAAAATCTGTAATATCCAGAAAGTCCGGATCCTGCCTCTGCTGGAGTCTGTTAGATTGACAAAGATGCTTTTTTCCCCACTTTACTACGAGTTTTCTAATTTTAAGGAGCTTTTAAGTAAAGTTAGTGTGAGTTATGCAGATGTCAAGTCGTGGGTAACTGTTGTAAATAAGCATGTGGTAATATATCTAATATGATTTCTGCCATAACTGAGCTGCCCTACTGTTAGCCTCTTTCTAGTAGACTTGTTGACTGTTCTCCTCTTCTGATGTAATGACATCCAAGTAATAAGTAGAAAGAGGGTATATCACGACTTATGACTTGGTCAATAATTTGGGACAATGACAGTAGTCCAGTTAAGTTGCCTAACTGAGCTATAGACGGGTTTCTGTGCAACGTCATCGCAGGTATGTGTGCGCAGCCTTGGGGCAGAAAGCGGGACATTTCTTATTTGTTTACTAGCAGAGTCAATGGAGAAAGAGAAGCTGTTGTGCTGTAAACTGCATGAATCGGCAAAGCAAACAATCGGCAAACATTACAACCCTGCTAACAACCTTGTAAATTTACTGAAATTCATGGATATTTCAGCAAGTGTATTTCTGATTTTGATGCAATGGAAGACAAAGCGATTTTTCAATGAAATGACATTTTATTGCAATTGTGTCAGGGAGAACTTGCAAACAATGTGGCATCTTCATTGAAATCAGTTCACTCCCAAGTAGGCTTTTGCCCCATGGTTGCGCGCACACCCAGAATTGTTTGTACACAAGAAACCTGTCTATAACTGTGGCTCAATTGAACTGTGTAAAGGTACTAAAAGGACTTAACTGGTGTCTTTATAAGATACTGTGTAGTATTTGAAACAACCAGAGCAAGAGAGCTTTAACAAACAGTCTCAACTTTCACTTGAGGTTGCCTTTCAAACTGTGAAACATCCTAGATTTGAAGTAGTTTTAGTATTTCGCAGGAGTAATTTTTTGTGCCAGTTTGAAAATAAATGCCATCCTTTGAAGATCTCTTCACTTTCTCCTCTGCCCCTCTCTCTCTGTCAAACACACACATTCACACAGTCAGTCCCATGAAAGGCAGAGAAATATCAACCTGTTAACAATGTCATTCAATTTTTACAACTCTGGACACTTCTCAAAAATGTCCATTTTGCAGTTGGAAAGTTTTATCAGCTAAATGTTTATTTAAAAGACTATCTAAAGGAGTTTGCTACACCTTTACTTGTGCATTCAGCTTTGTACAGTTTCAAATGTTCTCAGAGCTCTTTGCAGCAGACAAACATTTCATTTGGGATCCTTGGTGAAATGAAACAAAAGATCAGAACAGAAAGGCCTGGCATGTTGACAGTATTTTCCTGGCACTGAAGATCATTTAACCGTACTACCTTTAATATTCTGCACAGGTCTTTGTTATGTTAATACTGTGGCCACTCTCTCACCCACTCGTCGCCGCCAGTGTGGGCAGGCAGACTTTCCTCTCCAACCAGTACGATTACACCTTGAAGAGCCACCACAGTGTCTGGGGGAGATAAAACTGCTTGAATGCATCTTTCACAATCAGCTTTTTTGTCAAACTCTTCTTCAAGTTTATATTCAGGAGAGCCAGAAGAGTGTTTTTTCTCTTCACTCGGTTGAAAATCCTCTCAGAAAGTGACTGAACGCAGCATTCCGTAAAGCACAGTCATGAATAAACTATGAGAAAGAAAAGTTGTGATTACTTTAATGGCAAATCTATACACGCATTTGACACCATGCTCCTTCTTTAACACTGAGGCCGAGCCCACATGTTTCTGCATAAAGAGCCCTTCCCCTGTTCGATCCCAGCCGTCCCTGCTCGGTTCAAAGCCCTGTGGCTGCTCTGTGGCACCGCTCAGGGGAGCTGCTCCTTGGGCAATGTGCTGCAACTTCACAAGGAGGAAAAAAGCCTACCAGCGCGTCCCAGGAGAGACACCCATGAAGTAACAATACACCCCTACCTCATACGCACCGGAGAGGCCACATGAGGTGAACACAGAATCCGGTGGGGACACAGCACGAACCATGCAAGGTGCACATTCACCCGGTAGCCCCCTTGTCTTTTTGATCACAGTCCACTTGTGTTGTGAGTAACTGCACTTGAGTGTAACACGAGAAAGCCGCTTTCTCACACATGCACACAACTTAAACACATGCAGATGATTAAAGTGGGCGCATTTACCTTGCTTGGATGGACCACAAACCAGCAGAAGAAGACAGAAGAGCCAAATTGTGTTCTCCACCGCCATGTACAGCCTTTGATTTCCACCAGTGGGGTAGCCGCGTTCGTCTATACAACCAGCTATACCGTTATAGCGACATGCATACGTTGGAATCCGCTATTGTCTCCGCCGGTGCGTAAAGGACTCTCCGTGAATGTTTTCGGGTCTCTTTGGTGAACAGTCCCCGCTGCTTTTCCCCTTAACAAGAAGGTTGCATTAATCGGGGGGAGAGCCGTCGTGTCTCTCGGCGCTTCAACGCCATGTTGCGAACGAATGTTAAGTGTGTGTTGGCTGCTGCTCGACACCACACCACACACACACATACGTAGACACACAGGCACACATGCTAGTGGACGTACACGCGCGCGCGCACGTTCACCAGACACTGGCTGGCTGGCTGCTCGTCGCTGGAGTCCTGAAAAGCAGTCGGTGATTCTAACAAACCCCCTCTTCTTCTTCCTCCTTTTTTGTGTCCAACTCCAGGTTCTCCAAAGACAGTTTGAGGATTCGTTCAGAGCGGACACGCCGTTCAAACACTTGCAATACGAAATTTGTCAAAAAATCTTTAACCCCAGGCGCCCTCTCTCTCTCTCTCTCTCTCCCTCTCTCCCTCTCCCTCTCTCTCCCTGTCTGTCTGGAATGATGAATTCGTTAGGGTAATGCTTCATTCTTTGCTAAATTAAAGCGAAGTATGCAGAATGGACACGCTGAGCGCTTATCTGTAATGACTGCAAATGTGTTGCCCCGAATGAACCCAATGTTGCAGACAGTGGTTATTTTCATGAGCACACACACACACACAAAGCTAGAAACACATTTACAGTGCAGACATCATTATCATGTTGTAATCATGCTAAATCATATCCTTTCATGAAGACACCCTAGTGTGTTGTTGGTTTTTGTCTAAGATGTGTGTAAGAGACCATGCATCTTTATTTATGCACATACACGGATATGTATGCAAGGCTGCAGAATGCCCGTGTGTAATAAGGCAGGTCTGGCTGGAAAAAAAAATGGAGAGTAGGAGAGGCACATGTGCTCCCAGTGCAAGAGCAGGCAGGAGGAGGAGGAGGAGGAGAAGGAGGAGGAGGTGGTTAGGACTAGGGGGTGGTGGAGTGTTGGTAGTGTGCATCCCAATCAATCAGCTGGCTTGCCTCCTGCACTGAGTGCTGAGGGACCCACTGACTTTTGCACATAGCGGGAGCCAGCTGGAGCCCAGCCTTCCTCCAGCAGACAAAGACTCGCCTCGTGCAGCACACTCTCAGCATCACTGATACCAGCAGCATCCCAGCATTCACTAGCAAATACAGGGAGAGCGGAGAGGCAAACACACAAAGGCTTGGAGGAGTCAGATATAAATACACAGCAATCTGCATGTACATCAAAGCTGTGACTTTTTACACCGTACAAAAAAACAGGACTGTGCTTTGAAGTTACAAAATGGGATGCACACCATTTGATGTGACATCCACTTAGGCGAGGAAAAAAAAGTCTTTCATGAAAAGGAAATCTGAAAACAGACCATGATAGAAGCATCTTGTACCATGTTACTATGAGCGAAATATTAGTCCCTTTAAAAATAGCTTTTGCAACAGAATAGTAAACCATATGTCCCTAAATTTTGAAAAGGAAATCACAAAACAGTGATGAAGTTTCACTCAAGATATAATATTTCGTTCACAATGATTTCTCATCACATTGCAGTCATTTAATCCTGACTCATGATGGATTTGAGCCGCTGAAATGAAATGGGATGGATGCATTTCCCATGTGTCTGATTAAAGCGAATGCCTGGGCCATCAGCAAATGTGATTGCATCGGAAAACTAATAGCATTGCTGTGTCCTCTGTGATTGTGGTCAAGCTGTAATTTCCATGATACTCCCTGGCCCCCCTTCCCGCTCTGGTGGAATAATGAACACAAACTACCAGCTGCTCGCAAATTGCTCCACAAAAGCATCATGATCTGAACACACAAGCCATCTGAAAGAATTAGCGACAGATAAATTCTGTCAGAAAATGTTGACTCCTCGCTTTTGACAGGAGTTCTGGCGGTGTGCCTCAATTCATCACACAGCATACATGTGCTGCTTTACTGTACAGTCATTGCACAAAGTGCTTTTGCAGTGCTAACAGTCCCAAGAGTTGTCAATCCACCCATGATTTTTTTTAATGTGCAAGGCAGCAACCCATGAAAAGTAAGATTGGGTGGCTATCTTACTCTCACACTTCAAGGAGCAGTGGAATAAGTTGCATCCTCAACTACCCACAATAAGTTATCTGAAAAAGGTGATGACCTGCTCTGAGCCATGAACTTAATTACAGATAACCTGATTCTCTTTAACCAAACAGAACAAACTGCAGCCCCAGTTGAAACCACACCTGCAGTTTGTTACCCTCAAAATCTGAAGGTGGCTGCCCACTCTTGTTTGTTTGTATTGTCAGATTTGTGGCTCTGTGATTGAACATTATCTTGTCATCACCATATTTAAAGCAGATTTTTACAAAATCAAAACAACGTGCTCTAAGAATAGCCAATCTTTATTCCAACAAGCACAGACTTCTTTTAACGATTAAAGCCAGGATAGCCAAATATAAAGACGGCAGATTGCTGAAGAAATTATTTACACGTCTGATACTCTGCCCGATGAGACCAATTTGGATAGTAAACTTGTCTGGCTCCAGTCAAACAGTGAGAGGTTTTAGTACTTTTTCTTGGCAGTGAGAGGAATGTCAGAGTTGCTGTTTTTTCCTCTAATAACAAATAAGATTTCTCTCTACAACAGAGAATACTGTAATTGGTTGGTGAGGACTCTGTCCAAGCCCAGAAAATGTCAATTTAAGCACATGGAAAAAGGTTCAACCAACCCATGTGCACACTGTTTAAATCATATTCTTAAAAGTACTAATTAAAATGCTGTCACCTCTATGTTAACAGTAATTAAAATGATGCACAAACAGATCTACTTCTTCACCAAATCTTCAGTGAAGCTCTTGTTATAACGGAGTGTTTCAAGGTCTCGTTAAAATTCAGGCTGATCAGACCTCAAGGTTTTTTTTCACTTAAGCTTCCTCTGCTGTTTCACTTCTTTTCTCTTCCACGTGTTTTACTTTTGTGCCAGATGCCTTTGAATTCCAAGGATCCCATCAAAAAGCTTCAGCAAACAACTGAAGGGGAAGCTTGATTCCAACTCCAGTTTGGCCAAAAGGGTAAATCACATCCCCTGTGTACATAAAAATGTGATTTTTAAAAAATCAAAATTAACCCAAGTCCAACAACTGGCCAGGAGTGTTAGAGGAATAAAACTGAGATCTAACTTCCTTCTTCTTTTCCTCCTTTTTGTTCTACTGAAAGACCAGAATTTAAGCTCCTATTTGTTTTTGTTTTTTATGTTACATTCAGCGTTAATATTATTATTTTTATACAACTGGCTTTAAGCAAGTTTAAGATCCAAGGTTTTGTTTATACGCAGGTTTTATTGGCTCCTCGATGAAACAATGTTCTGTTTTAGGGTTGAACAGTTTACTCAGCTTCAGCCAAGCACATGTTCTGAGCCCCTCTTTGTAAACAGTTGCTCTAAATACATTAGTACAGCTTTATTGTTGCTGTAAGGCTTCCCCTGCTCTCATTTTCTCTCCTTGATTCTATAGTTTTGTCCAAGTCAGGTCATTCGACTCCCTGTGATGGTCTACCTAGGTAGCTTCTTTAAATTCCTTCTACTCAGTTGCATCTTGTTGTTAAACTCTTTTCAGGATGCTGCTCGGACCCCCCAGCTACCCAGACAGTCTTCTGGGATGAATCTCCCTCTCAAGAGCCTCACATGTGGAGACAGCACACTGTCAAACCTGGTGTGGTCAAAGGGTTCAGGGTAGAGTGAAGTACAGGTTCAGACATGTTCTCAGCCAACTCTTCAAATCATTGAGGGCAAATCAGATGGATGATATATCCCTCAGCGTGCAGCTGAACACCTCTCCAGGGATCTTTACCAACTTTTCTGTGACAATGAGACCGCCCTTTTTCTATTCTTGACCAGAACGGTTAGAAACTCATTCTGGTCCACTCCCTCAGCCACTGCTGCCTAGATAGTTTCCGCCCACAGCCTAGTACCAACTCTCTGGTGACAGATCATCCGTAAAGACCATACAGGGAGGTTGGTGCTTTGTGGATTTCATCTCAAGCCCTCTGCACTCTGACTCAGAGCAGATTTTATGAGCATGCTCATGTCCGCGGAAAACAAATTTACCGAGATGATGCCCCCTGTGATTATCCCCACTTCAGTCTTGGCCTGCCTGATGCAATTGCTCATAATGTACAAATTATTCATTACTGCAGTCCTTAAAGAACACTTACTGTACACTTTTCAGTGCATGTAGTCACTGTGTGGTAAAAGATGTAAATCTTTCAGAGAGACAGAGATACAGTTGTAATGATTTTATGATGAGCTTCATTAGTCAGTTAAGGTGCAAGGATTGGAGAATTTATTTGACAGGAATGTACAATGTTTGTGTTTTTGTCTTGATTTGAAATATATGTCTTTCATGATGTGCTCTTTTAAAGAAGTTTATGAAGTAACAGATGGTAAAGGGAACGGTGATTACATAGAAACACATCTGTTACTGTCATTGTCACAGAGGTTGTGCGTCTGTTTTCGATTCAGTATTGGATTATATAATAAGAAGCTACTGTCCCTTATACTTTTTTGTTAGATTATTGTTGCAGACATTTTAGACTCATGAGAATTCAAAGGAACAAGAAAAAAATATTGGATTCTAACTTATTGGGCGCGCAGTCATTCATTCATGGTTTGTGAGCAGTTTGAAAAGTAGGTTTTTCACACAATCATCTGGGAATGACAGCAGTTATTATGTGGTTTGAAATGTAAAAGGAAAAGTAATTTGTCATTCTATTTCTTCTCTCTTTCTTTGTGTCTTTGTCTCTTGTCCACAGGTGTCATACAGTTGTGAGTCTGTGCTGTTTGTGTGTTTGACTGCAGAGTACAGTAGCCTCCGTGGTGGCTGTCTCTCATCTCTCTCAAGGTCAGAGACACAGAGTCACATCTGACAGCAGAGCGTCTCCTGAATAGAAAAGGAAATGTCACAGCCTGGTTGATAGATATGGAGCAGCGCCCCCTGCTGGACATGCTAAGAAGTGACTAGGCTCGGAGACAAGCATGCATCATTCATGTCAGTGCTACAAAGAAGCAGGAGCGCTGATCAGAATGCTGAAAAATCCCAGGGCACAGAGAGAGGTGTTTTGTACATGCTGAAGGAGTACCGTAATGTACTGGATAAATCTGTCTGTTTTATTTATCTTGCCTCTTTCCACCCCATTTGAAATCCACCTGTGTCTGCTGTTTGTTGATGATAAAAAAAAAAAAAAGAAAAAACAAAAGTAATATCACTCATATATCTGTGCCCTCTTTCTGGCTGGGTTCAGTCACCAACTGTGAACTGTTTAGTGAACAAATACTGTACGCTACGGTCCATGGTTCATGTTTGGATATGTAAATGAGGTTAGTGTATGATTGCCTCGCCACAATGTTATTCCACCTCCTTCCGCTGGAGGGTCGCCCTCCAAATGCTTGGTCTGGAGGAAAGCGTCTCCATAGAAACCACGACAACGGTGGCACATGAGCTCAGGGTTTGACTGGGCAAATGGAGGACAATGACACAAGGGGTGCACTGGCGCTGGGCCACAATGGAGAGCATCAAGCAGGGACATTGAGTGTTGAACAACAGACACTTACTTTTACCTCATTTAAGGCTCATTTAGACACCCAGAGATGAAGATAAATAAATGTGCTCATGTATTTAGTCACAAGTGGACTGATGTGAGTTTGAGTGCAAGAGTTTGTGTGTCTGTTACTGTGTGGTATTTTGTCATTCAAATAACAAAATATGGCACATTTTAGAAGGAATTGAAGAGAAATATGACACTATTAAGGTACGGTTGACAAAGTCATAAAATTCGTGATCATATAAACGAATAAATTATGTATTTTAATTCACCTTAAAGATGCAGTGTAGTCAGCCTACACATAGATTTCTTATTATCTGAAGTAGACTTTCTCCCAGAGAAAAGCCTTGTGTGTTTGTTGTGCTGAATGAATGTTGATGCAAAGATGCCGAGCATGTCTCTCAACCTTAATTTCCTCTCTCTTTCTCTTTGCCTTCTTTTTATTTTTCCCTACAGCCACTCTCGTTATCTCACCATCTTACCTGATACTTAATATCCTGCCTTCTATCTGTTTCCCATCCAGGACCATGACAAAGCACCCGGCAAAGACAACCCAGAAAAGACCCATTATGTTGCATCAATGCTGTCTTAGGGAGGCTCATAGGGGAACTCTGACTTTCTTATTCTAATCTTTGCAGAGTGAAACATTGTTGGTGAGCTAGAGAGGGAGGGAGAGGTGGGATGTGTTAATGCAGAGGAGGACCATTACTCCCTGAAAGAAGCAGCCCTTGTCCTAATTAGCTTTAAAAGTAGATTCCGAGTGAGATTATCACTCGAAGATTGCGAGGCGTCGGTAAAGAAATTCATCTCAATGGCTGCCTTGTTTGGCATAGAGATGAGAGAGGCAGAATAAGAGACGGAGAGAGGAAGACAGACAAAGAAGCACGATTGCGAGACCACTTATAACCAACTCAGTCTATGTCACGGTGGCCCAGAACAACCTGTCAGAAACATGTCTAGACTGAAGCTTTTCTGATGAATATTAATGGAAAGAGGAGAGGGGAAATGAGAGGCTTGTAGGAGTGACAGTTAGAGGTCAGGAAGAAGGCCAGCTTTAGTAGTTTTACATATACAGTGGCCTGAATAAAAGTTTATCAAACAAAAAGTTTTCCCAAAATGTGTATGCTTTTTCACCTTTTCCTTTACTTAAACATAATGTACTTTTGATGGGATCGGGCAGATCTTTCTTTATGTAGCCTCAGTGAACGACCTTTTTTTTGGTCTCCTTTTTCAGTTTCTGGTGGAAGTGGCCTAGGGGTGACCTTCCTTGTGCCCCATAAGCAAGGGTGTCCCCAGGACCCTGACCCCGGTTTTTAGTTCAAAAGTTAACTACTACTAACTACTAACTACTGTCATGGTTTGCAAAGAAAAGGACCTAGAGATTGTCTCACATTGTACAGGTGTATGGCTGATTGATCTTTTAAAGGGAAACACTCCTGCTGATGCACTCAAGGCATTGTTGAACATGAACATCAAACCGACTCAAGTTCCTGTTTGATTTTTTTTGTTGCTGTTCTCCCCTTATCTTTGTAAATATTTCTATAATGAAGAACTTTGTGCCATCTCTTTCTGTAAAAAACACAGAGTCTCTATATGTTGTTTAACTGAATAATCTAAAACTTAAGCAGTTTTTCAGTATTAGGTTTCAGGGATATCTTTCTCTTTGATACAGCAAATTTAGCAGCATCTATTAACTTCTGGAAAAGTTTGAGAAAATATTTAATTTGAGTTACAATGGTCTCTTAATGACAGAAAACCAATTAAGTTCACTCATCAGATGGGGAGCCCTACGACATAAACTGTTTACTGCATGTATAAACTGTGTGATTAATACAAAAGCTTGGTTGGTTAAAAAAAAACACATCCCATAACCCATTAATCATTTAACTTGAATATCGCTGTCAGAAAATATGACATTATCCAATGATAACTGCCAGTTCAAGATGCGTTATTATTAGGTTATTTTACTTTTTTTTAATATATTTTTTTTTTTCTTCTCTCGCTCTCCAAATAAACTTACATGCCTTAATTTAGGCCTTACGTATAGAGCCTTTATGGTTTACTTTCAAAGTTGCACTTAATTATTGTCTATTCACTTAAATATATGTAATCTGGTGTGTCTGTTTTGGACCTGTTGGACCATACACACAGTCCAGCTGGACTATTGTTCATGTATCCAGCCCTGAATTTAATGCTTGAGAATCTCTTTTACAGATGAATAACAACAACTTCCTTCTCCTGCCAATAAAAATGGGGGGGATTTGAAGTCAGTCAACATGCCAAAAAGTGTGCTCAGTATCAAAAACCAGTTCTTCAATGTGCAGTGAAACAGTGCCCTCTGCTGGAGAGCTGGAGTCATTTTGGTGGTTAGCTCAAATACAAACTCATCTCACACATTCAAGCCCTGGGCACTGATTGGACTGATAATGGCTTCCAACAAACCGGGTCTCATCATAGAGGAATATTTAAGTGATATAAGAGAAAATATCTGCTGCACATGACATACCAGATACTTCCAACATTGCATTGCCGTACTCTGACTATGAACTTACTGTTAGTTTACACATACGATGTTCGGGGTTTATTTTAGTGTTATAAAAAATATAGAAAAACGTGCAACAGAAACATGCTGGTAATCACGTCTAAGCTGAAGCACCTGTGTGATAAATAGAGGTAGTGTACTATCTGCCATTTTACTGTAACTTTTATCAACGGTATTATGTTTTTGTTGTTGTTGTTTTTTGATAATAAAACCCTACACTCACGGAAGTTCAACACCACACTCTACACCTACGTCGGTGTGTGATGTTTCAGCACCATGGACAGAGAGCCGAACTGTGATTGGGTCAACAATACAACGTCAAGGATTAAAGTAATCTGCCTATTGGTCTGAGTCAAAGTGACAGCGGAATCAAGCGCTCTGATTGGTCGAGATTGAGGATCATTAGGATTTATCACTGTGCATACTACGCGACGGAAAGTATTACAATAGTGTTATAGTTTAGCTTACAGGTTCCATTTGATTGATTACCCTCTATATCTGATCACATTTGGTGTCTCCACGCGAGTCTGTGGGCTTAAAGAGGAAAGAGGACGCTACTCTTTGGGGAGGTAAGCAGATTACGTTCTCCGAGAAATCCGTAATTCCTGCCCATAACAGGCAGCTCTCTGTTAAATCATCCCCATGGCCTCAGTTATATACATTATTGACGGCACGTGTTGGCGTAACTTGGGTGTGTTTGCCGCGTGTTGTGTGTTCACGGTGTTCCTGTAGGTGTGTGTGGGTCCGTTTTCTGGTTGTATTTTGTGGGAGAGGAAGGATTTAGTCTTTTACAGACGGTGACAGGAGGGCTGTCACATTAAATCCCCCGACAGGACGTGTTAGCCTAGCCCATAGTGCTGTATGTCAAAACACGTTTAACTCGTAAAGTACCTCACCTTTAACCTGCATAATACAACTTAAATGACCACAAGGGCTTTTAAATAATAATTAGATTCAACTATAATCCTTTTTTTAAATCTTATTTGACAGGTTGGAGAGACTGAGGAAGGAATAAAGCTAAACAGACAGCTCTACACTCACTCTTCATGGCAGGTCAGTAATCATAGAGAAACTGGGAAGTATATGCAGCCTGATGATATGACTAACTATGTCAAATTATTTGTCTTAGAGCCAAACTTCCCCCCGTTGCCTGGCTTCATTCCTCTGAAGCCCTGCTTCTACCAGGACTTTGAGGAAATCCCTGAACAGCACCGCAGCATGTGCAAGAAAATGTACCACCTTTGGATATGTGAGTGGACTCATGTCAGATTAGTATGTGAGTGCATGGAGTTGATGGTGTTATTTTTCCTTGCACAGGGCTACACTATAAACTTTGTCTTATGTCCAGGCTATAAAAGTGACTTTTTCTGCAGAGGCTACCTGAAAAGGAATCATCAGATTTTTCCAGAAGGTCCCATTAAATTTGTTCCCCTCTGTAATTCACAATAAGAAGTACAATGTAACAGAAGGGCAGTGGTTTACAAGGGTCCCCTTGGTATGCAAAGATTTTGATTTTTTCACAGGCTGTTATCCTGACTGGTTTATTTGCTAATGAGTCATAGCACTGACCAGATGGCCTTGGTTTGAGCAGAGCCGTTAACATTGAAATTGTGTTTAACAATTTTTGCCAGAAGCACTTTAATCAAAGTTTATTACTCCATAAACAAGCAGCACAATCATGCTCATGATATTGCTCTGGTCTGGAAGCTCCCTGCTCGTCCATGAAGCAGAAAGGAACAAGAAACATCCTCAGTCTCTTGCAACACTTAAGCAGGTGCAGTGGCACTAACCTGGCCGTGAGAGGACTGTAATAAGCCAAACAAAAAGTTTGACAACGAATCACACCCTGTTGCATCTGATTTTGCCTAAATATGCCAACCCTCTTCACATCAATGTACTTTCTGTAAATCACAACTTCATTATGTTCAGCTTGCATGAGAAGTTTTCTTTAAAGTCATATTTTTTTAAGACAAGAAAAATATATCCTTTGACCAGTTTGTGACCAGGCTTTCTTTTCTACAGGGGTGTTCCTTCTTTTTATATACATAAACTTTGAGCAGGTATTTAAAACAGATTTCAATGTTCCTCTTTCTGCATGCACTTGTTTTTACACTTCTCTACCTGAGAGCTATTTAATTCATAATCTATTTTCTTGTTTTCTGTTTTCACATGCGAGAATTATCTCAAGCTAAATAATTTTTCCTTCTCTGTGTGTAAGACATCTGTGTTCCTCAGTAGCTGTCACATTTCTGCTGTGTTTTGCCTGATAATTACTTTTTCAGTGGCCCCACATTTAAAGCTGATGGGCCTTAAAAACTAGTTTAGAAAGCAAAGATGCACCAACAGCACAGACCTTGCAGTTACAATTAACTCCAGCAGCCTTAAACAGACAGTTTTGAAGCCTAAACTATCACCAAGAATCAATAGAAAAGGAGATAGCAGAAAAAGGCAAAGAGGGGACACAAGCTGAAATGTGTGTACGCCACTGGAATTAAGTATTTCTTCTCATTTTACTGCGTTTTTCTTTCATTTCAATTCTCCAACGTTAAACTGAACTCCACTGCATGTATGCATGTCCACGTCTGTATGCCAAACAGTTAATGTTTTCATCTGTACTTCTAAAGTCCATCTTGTGTGTTCTGTTTTTGAAGTGAACAGCGCCACTTTGGTTGTGAATCTCGTTGGTTGCTTTGCCTGGATGTTTGGTGGAGGCGGTGTAACAAACTTTGGCCTTGCTATCATCTGGCTGCTCATGTTCACTCCCTGCTCCTATGTTTGTTGGTTCAGAGCCATCTACAAGGCCTTCAAGTAAGTCAAACATGAAATACAAAATGACATTAAAAGTGCTGCTTTGTAAGTGCAGCACACTGATTCCCTTACAATTCAATATTGCGCAGACACATCACCAAAACAACATTTTAGATAACTAAAGTTTTTAAATAAGGTAATAACCAACTGAGATTAAATTTGCCAGAAAAATGAAAACTTTAGCAACCAGTCAGTAGGGGGAGCTCTAAATCTTTCAGTCCACACCTTTGTAAAGTTCATTTTAACACAGTCTACATGTAAAGCCAACAAAATATTGAATTTCAAAATCTTGCTTTTATAAAACCATTGAGTCCCGATACTTTCCTGCATGACTGCTTTCTACCCCTGGAAATAATACTCCAACTTGTCCCTATTAAGGCAAAAGGGAACCCGAACACCAGGTGACACCCTTTGCAGCACTGGCACGATATCCATAAGAAGACAGCCAATAGCAATTTCTTCTCAAACTGTTCATTAATCATCTCAGCTTAGTCACTGTATGCTTCCTTTGTCCTGTCAAAGTGTCACAACCAGGCAAAAAGCCAATAGTCCAACCCACACCTCTGACAAGGTCATCTACGGTGGAAGTGCTATCACTACAGAAAGGCAGACATGGGAGAATCAATGCCACAGTTAATGATCTGAAAAGATCAATCATCACAAGTTGTGGAAAAGCCTTCATTCATTGTGCACCTTCATGCAGTGCACCTGTAGCAATACAACTGAGGAGTTCACTTGTGTGTACTACACAGTACACTCATGCAGAGATTGAATAACCTATCATCACTCTAATGCTTTAAAAATAAGTTATAACTAAGTACCTTTTCGTTCTAGGACTGACAGCTCCTTCAACTTCATGATCTTCTTCTTTGTGTTCATGGCCCAAGTTGGCATCAGCATCATCCAAAGCATCGGCATCCCTGGATGGGGAGTGTGGTAAGAGTCTGAAACAGAAACAGAAAAACAGGAGATTTTTACTTGCTGATTTTATTTAGTATTCTTAGTCAAATAAGGAATATTTTTTTTGATCAAGTATGTTTTTATTTTAAAAGTACTTTTAAAATGTGGTGACATTTGCGTATGCACAACATCTTAAATGTTAGTCATGTTAGGGGAAATATTTATTTTGAAATCAAGGATTAAAGTGTTTTCAACTAATTTTGAACACAATTGTTAAGTTAGACGAATAAGCTTGTGTAAGTTCCACTATATTAGGTACAGAGATCACTGACTGTAAAACTAAATCACAGTCATTATGAAGCTTCACAAACTATTACAACATTTACAAACTACTAATTCATTGCGGCCACAAAGATTCAAGAATTGATTCATTGAGATTTTAAAAAATCTGCTTTAGAATGAAACGTTTTGGGCTCCAGCACCAAGTCTGGTCAGAAAGTGTTTTTTTCCACACCTTCCTCTCAGCTTTCATTAACATGACAGTGATGGAATATCAGAAATTGCCCTCATATAACTTTAATGATCGCCCTGTTATTAGATTTTGAGAGGCCGTTAAAGAGACCCTCAAAATGTCACCAGTCTCAGGCTGATGATCAGGAATTAATATTATGACAGCCTCCATAAAGTTTATAAATGTCACCATGTGCAGCTGTATATCATCATGTATGAGCTGTAAAACTTTTAAACTTTATATGGCAGTACTCAAGAATCAAAAAGAATTACCGGTATTTACTGTCCAGATGGTCACTATTCGTGTCTGTTACAGATAATTATGGTTCAAGTTGCGTTCACAGCCTTAATTTGTTTTTGTTTTTTTCTGTTTTTTTTTGGATGAATTGTGTTAAATGTCATTTTCTTTGGCCTTTTCAGCGGTTGGCTGGCAACCATCTCCTTTTTCAGCTATAACATTTTGATTGCTCTCATCATGTTGGTCCCTACCATCATGTTCACTGCTGTGGCCTCACTGTCCTTCATCGCTCTAACCAGGGTAAGAATTCAGTGTCTGAATGGGCGATGAAGACGGACAGAAAATCAATGTGAATATATTTTCTGTCAGCGTCCATGACCATTTCCGTCCATTGTCGTTGTAATTTAATTATTTTCCGTTCTGTGTTCAGACAAATTTGACTGATTACCTGTGATAATGTGACAAGCATATGTCAGTCCAGGATTGGAGATTAATTCTCTCTAATATCAACAAAGCATCTTTTTAGGAATGCTCTGATAAATGCTTGAAATTTGTCTTGACTTTTTTTTAAAAATTAAATTCCTAAAGAAACACACAATGTACCAAACAAATGTAAGTTCAACCAGTGGTGGCTCTAAAAAATGCCCTATATTTTAGGCACCCAAGAATAATAAGAGAAATAGAAACAAAACTGTGTTACACTAAAATACATTCCAGTATGACTGATCAGAGACCAAAGTCGACCTTCTTCTGCTCCATAAACACTCAAGTCCTTAAAGAGATGCACTGACTTAGAAATATCTTTCTATAACTCTGTGTGATAATCAAAATATCTTAGGGTTCACACGACACCCACTTAAGAATACATTGTGATGCCATCTTATGCACAGATCCATAATTACTACCGTGGCAGCGGGGCCAGCATGACCAAAGCTCAGGAGGAGTGGACCACGGGAGCCTGGAAGAACCCCCACGTCCAGGCAGCGGCCCAGCAGGCGGCTATGGGTGCAGCTGCAGGAGCCATGCAGGAGCCGTACTCCAGCCCGCAGTACAACGAAAACCAGATGTAGCCTCTACAGTACAGAGGCACCAGAGAAATGATGGAACAGCCATGCCAAAGTCTGAGCATCAGAGTCAGGGATGTCTTACTTTCCCCTCCAAAATCATTCATTTTGTAGTTTATCTGTTTAGGGTTTGAAAAAATTACCCCTGTATATCATAACACTTACTGATTTCACATTCTGGCCCAGTCACTGATTCAGCAAAATCTTAGAGATTTCAAGCTATTTCATCATCAACTTAAAGCTAGGAACATCTGCGGGGAGCTGATTCTTGCCTTCCCGAATAAAAGGGTACAAGATGTTTTTATAGTATTTTATATCATTTCATATGTCTGTTATCTGTTTGAGAGGTTGAAATAAAACTAGTTTTGAATGTTTTTCTTTAGTCACCCTATTAGAGCGGTGAAAGGTTCTCTGTGTCGACCTGTAGCTACAAGAACTTTAAGAACCCATGTGAAATGATCTAATTCTCTTTGTATAGTTTATATAACAAATAATATTGCAGGTATGAAGTATGTCTATTATTTTTCAAAGGTAGAAGGTAAACCAAAGATTGAATTTTGTATTGCAAACATATTTTAAAGTACACAACTAAATGTGACCTCATCCTTGCTTTATTTCTATGCATTATATTAACAACTACACTGTGAATTGAAAAGCTTGTAATGTGAAAAAAAGTCTGTTTTTACTACAGTTTGTAACAAAACTGAAATTGAATTTGGAAAAAAAACATGATCACACTTGAAGCTGTCACTGTTATTGTGAAAATTCAGATCTACACCATGTTACACTTGAACCAGTGTTCATACTTTATGCTAATTCTGCAAAGAAACAAGTGGCATATGTGACCCTTATGCTAAAATCACCTCAACATAATCATGAATGTGACATTTTTGTACTGAATGTAAATGTAGTAAATGCTCGTTCAGAGACAGTTTTGTTAAGCTGAGTGTTGTACGGCTGTTTGACCACCAAGAGGTGCTGATGGTTTTAGTTTGAAATAAAAAGGTCCAACATGAACAGATTACCTTCATTCATCCTTCACAGATCATGGTCTGCACTTTTGCTAGCCCCTTCTATTTCCTCTTTCTTTATCTCCTTCTATCCTTTTTTCTTAGTGTCACCCCTCCCCTCCTCATTCTACCTCCTCCCCAGAAAAACACTCTGAGAGCAATGGAGATTTAAGTCATCACTACACAGCCGCCCAGGAATTGTGCCACTTTGTTTCCCTTTGGCTGTAACCTGCACTCATTGATGCAGTTACCCATATTCATTTGGAGTGGTCTCCCATTATACTGACTTGTTGGTTGTTTGGTTGAAAAGACTGTGTACATTCAGGACGGTCGAAGAGCAGATTGTTGCACTCAATACCATCATGAAGAATGTTTGTTAAAAACTAGTGTGAAATCCCTCCTGGTTACGTTTCCTCAGACATTCATAAAGTGTTCAGAGGAGTAAACAGCTGGTTTGGTAGAATGTGACATGATTGGCAGGAAAATATGCCGCTTTTTGTACTTAGTTTATTTCTTTTTGCTGAAAAAGGTCTTTGCTGTTTGATTTTTTTAAATGAGTCAATGACAAATGAAGATACTTTTGGTATATTTTAGTCTCTTGGCAGATTAAAAGGTTTTATATTTAAGTCCTGGGACCCTCAATGATTAAATGAAACCCTGATGTCCAGAAACTGCATTAATATCATTGTATCAATCTTCTGAAGTTAGAAAGTGAGGTACTTAGTATGAAGAGTCTCTTTGTTTGAGTATTTCGTTATATTTGCCCCATTTAGTAAAGACGCCGTACTCAATCATTAAAATGTGATTTCAAATTGTTTCCAAGACATTACACACAGCAAATGGCACTGCGAAAACATTTAAACACTGCTGAAATGAGGAATTAAAAATAGAGGACACATTCTTTGCCTTCAAGTGGTAGCATTGGTTCACTGTGGCTGTAAAACATTCATAGCAACTGTCCACCAGGGGCACTATAAAACTATTATTTTTTCCTCCCAAGAGGTACATTAACAAAGTCTGTACAAGTGGACTGCATATCTGGGAAAGTTAGGCTGATTGAAACTTCTTTTCTGGAAAGAAATTGAATATCTTTCAAACTAAAATGAGAGCAACAATATTTTTATTTTTCATTTTTTACCTTGGCGTCCAGTGAGCAGGTGACCATCGTAGATCAGATAGAAAATAATGGGTTTCTTTGTCCCAGCACAGTCCGCCTCTTCCTGTGTTGTTGTGAGAGTGATGGAATGACTCTTTGGAGAGGGGAATGAAATTATACAGCGATACAGATACCCAGAGGACCCACCAGCAGCCGCCAACAAACACTGTAATTGCCGTGCACATGGAAATCTCTCGTGACAAGTGTTGACAGCAAAGACTTGTGCCTTCAGGTAAACAGGATGGGTTGTCAGCAGCAGAATACAGTCATCGATTCATAACAAATCAAAACTGCACCAGTGCTTTTCTCAATAAAACCCTACATGGTCTACTTTTAAAAGAAAGATGATCAAACACGTGCGTCTTGTAATTTCAATCAGGTTGGAACGAAAAAGGGAAATGACCAAAACGTCGGCTGTTTGTGGTTAGTGCAGACATTTCATAACAACAGGACTGAATTTTAACCTGGATTGCTTCTCCAAAACAAGCTAAGATACTCCTGAGCAGCAACCTTCATAGCTCATGGCTGTGTTGGGAGTGCTGCAGTGGCTTGTTTGTCACTTTATTAAAGGAAACGATGTAGAGAATATTAGGGTTAAGAAAGAAAAATACAATCTCTCATTAGCTTGTTCGCATACAATATCTGTTATGAGTCTTTTAGATAGACAGATTAAAAACAAATATAAAAACATTTTGGCACACAGGCTGTAAACACCACTAGTTTGAGAATAATTGCTGTTTATTCAGCAGACATGGAGCTACCTGATGATTCTAACTCCAATATCTGCTCTCCTTTTCTCCATTTTGCTGCCAATCGATCCAATATGCTTAACAGCTCATGACTAACTTGGTCTGCTGTTTTGGAGCATTAGGAGCCTCCTGGGTGAAAACAGCAATGTCTGCACAGTAAACTGAAATGGTAAAGTTGCAGACCTTAGGATCAAAATGGGCTAAAAGAATATTAGGGTGTTGTCCTGGAACAGAAGCAAGTCTATCAGCCGCTAAAGATGAGGACAGCTCGACTGTGCAATTTAACTAAATTAAAGAAAGTCAGACTTCAGCACTGATGCTGGTATAATTTTGGTTTAGACTTTCTGACATCAGAAAGCTGCTTCATTTGGCACTAGTTCAGGGGCACTTTGATCTGCTAATCAGGTTTATGATGAGTTATCTTGAATTTTGCTCATTCCCTGATGAGTGTACTAAAAACGTTGATACTAGTTTAAGATCGCTTTAAGTGTCAAATTCTGAACACTATTGGGCTGACACAGTAACAACTGCAGTTTATTTTTGCAGTCTTCCTTTCCGATCTGGTTTCTGAAAAACTGAAAACAAGTAGGTAAAACAGCGGTGAACTGAGGATGGTTAGAGAGCAGACTTCTGCTGTATGTGAGCTGTTGGTATCCTCTGACCTGAAAAGGTTCAGCAGTTGCTCTCTTAGCTCTGGGAATGAGCTCACGATCTACACACCTACGCCACCAGGTAACGTGGGATCTCTCCTGATCTACAGTTAACATAGAAGTTTCCTTTCTCTCTTGTTCTTTCTCTGGTAGCTCATAAAGGTGTCCTCTTATGTCCACAGCCAACAGCATGTATTTTTTGTCACTTTCAAAGCCCATAAACTCCAACAGTAATCAGTGTGCTGCAGGCAGAAGAACACACACCAGTATGCAGTGCATTTCAAAACAGTGCAAAATAAAAGTGGCTCTCTTAGGTCAAATAAAGCACTGAAGAAATTTTAAATGTCATTTGCATTTAGGCTGATATTGTTTAAATTGGACTTTTATAAAATTAGCTCAACAAGGGCGCAAAACTATTGCAAGAGCTCTCAATAGTTTTGCAAGATCTCGCAGAAAATCTCGAGAAAATTCTTTTGTTTTTCTTTGTCATCCATGTCCCTTCAGAGGACATGGATGACAAAGCTGGTATTAAGTGGTGCTGTGAGACCCCTCTTCCTCACTTACACATCAAACATGTTAAGCTTTAAAAGTGGTTGCTTGCTTTTTTCAAGCACCATTCTCTGGTTAGTTACACTCTAATACAATAAAATACCTCTTACAGCATTTTATGCCGGTGTATTGGTTGCACTGGTTTGCAGGATGCAGCCGACCTTTTAAATGGAAAAGGGAATAAAATCTTCAAACGCCAAATTTTACGGTAATTGAAACCATTAGTGGGGCACTGATGATGCGTCTTATGTCAAATGTGATTGCGTTATATGAATCTTTACCCTATTATTAGTCATGCTAGCAGGAGCAAACAGGGCTGTAGGGAAGAGAGAGGAGGTGAGGTTCACATAAAGGACACGGTGTGACCTGAAGTTTACGGCGCACAGAAGGCCTTTTTGTTTCAGTTCTCAGGAGAGATGGAGATAGAGTGCCCTTTCATGCTGTCAAACACATGCACGCATTATCGTTCAGCTAGAGGTGTACAGTTGTGGAGTCATGCGCCCATACAGGCATGCTCTTATGTTTGTGTAACAACACGCATGATACACATGTGCACATGAAGCCAGGGTCCCCCAGCACCCAACACATCTCTGTTCTGAGGTAACACGCCCGCTCAGACATCCTGTGGGTGTAAGTGAGAGTCAGAGGAAGACTTGGTAGGAAGCACTCTCTTCTGGACTTGGATATAAAGCTGACTCATTTTGCTTTTCATCATAGAATAACTTGTGAGACTTTCCTATTTTTTGATTAACAGAAAACAGAGCAGACCTGGACTGACAATTAGTTTGTGACAAGAAAACAGAAAAGTGTTACTGAGTTTACAAAATGACCCAAAGAAAGCAGGCTGAAATCAATGTCTGGGTGTGAGTCATGGCTCCTCGCTTTGTGAGAGTGGACTGAGGTTTGGCAAACGGGGCACTTAATGATCAGGGTAGTTAAAACAGCACAAAACACGAAAAGGTGGAAAAATAATTGTGTTGGTAAAATTGTTCATTTGCAGCTTTGTTAGAAGCTGCTGTTAATTATGGCCTTTCAAGCCCACGACTCTTCAAAATCTTAAGTCTTTGTTCAGTGACTGATCACACTGCAAGATATCATTAAAAACATGACTCAAAACAAAGAGCTTCACTGAGATCATCTAAAGTTTGACTTCAAACAGTCATATACAACAACAAGTTTCAAAGCAGTTGCCTAATGGTACGTGCCAAATGACAGTCCTAAAGCAGTGCTGTGTTGATGGTTTTTATTGTCAGTTATTTTTTACATTATTTCTCAGTGTTTGGACTGAATATTTAATTCTTTTAGGACATGTCTACCTGAATCTAAATGATTTTCTTTTTGATAGTACTGATTTTTTCATATCCTTTCTTGCCCCAAATATATAAGCAACCACTCCAAAGTATTTTGCACCAGACGGTTTGTATCATTGTGTTGAAACCATAGAATGCATATACTATAGACAACTTGGTTCCGCCTTTCGCCAGTTTATGGATTTGAAGCCAAATAGCTCTCGGTAATTCCGCGTTTTTTCTCCACTTCCTGAAACCAACATTGTGCGGTAGCGTTATACGCACTCCACCACTATCACAGTAGCATTGTACGCATTCGGCGGGAGAGTCGCAGAGAGTTGCTGTGATGACGCTCGGCTCAAACAGCGTATCCCCCGGGTGAGTTATGCAATCTTCGTACGCCCGTAGGCTGAATCAAGTGTCAATCATAGAAAACATGAACCCCCTTATAACTTAAAAATGGAGATGTACAGAAAAAAAAGAGGGCTTGAACACAAACCAGTCTTACTGTAACTACATGTCAACATCACAATTAGGGGGGAGAAAAATTTTTATTCTGTGTAATAAATTTCGAAAGTTTGTCCACAGCTCTATAAGGATGGCTGATGGAGGCAG